AGCCTCCATGGTTCCTCCCAATAGGCGGTAAAGGTTGGTCCTCAGCATACTTCAAGAAGCCTCCCCTGGGGCATACCCAAAGATTTCGAGGATGCCCTACAGTTGGGTGCCTTCTGGTCATCAAGCATGACTTGCTGGACAATTCCCACATCAAGTTCGATGATTGGCCCATTTACCACAAAGACTTCCATGTACTTTGACCAGGGAACTATGTCTGATTGCCGACCTGTGAAAGTGCACCATCTTTGAACACATGTTTATGTTTCTCCCATGTGGAAGCTTTTGATTTGAAGTGTGTGCATTATGAGGTTTGATATCTAATACTGGGACTTGATGGGGATAAGAAGGCATTTTTTTCTGGCAGCCTGGTATGAAACAAACAACGCCAACAAATTGCGGCAAATATCACGCATTGATATCATGACACCTATGCAACGGATGTGCACGTGCACATGCACTCGCCAACTTGCCAAGCAACTTGGCAGTGGATGTCAGCGGGTAGCCTGGTAATTCGCATCAAAGTGGCCGGAAAAAACGAAGCAAACATCAAACCACCCCTCCTTCTATGTAGTTGTGATCCGTTTCTTGGAGACATCCGACAACTGGATATCATATGATATCATCTGGTGGTATACCTACCCCTCTGAAAAATCATGGAGTTCGTCAGTTGGGATGATGACATTCCCATATATCATGGAAAATAAAACGGTTCCAAGCCACCAACCAGTTACAGTATGCTACCCTTTTTGTGGGTAAATTCCCCCATTCCACCACGATACACAAAAGGACCCAGCCAGTGACCCACCCAAGGAACATGGTTCAGGACGGTCGCCCACCACGAAGTTGCATTTGAATGGAGTCCTGTCCAGTTTCATCCAAGTTATTGGGCCTGGTAAACCTACAAAAAACGATGGAAAGATCCACCATGTTTTATGGGAAAACTCACTATTTCTATGGCGATTTTCAATAGCTATTTTGACATAACCAGAGGGTATTTGGGCATTTTTCATGGAAACCAGTGGTGTTTCAAGGGAATGATACTGATAAGGGGAAACCAATCAAGTGAAAAAGGCTCGAAAAGGGTACCGCAATTTTCAGAAACATCCATTTGCATATCTGCCACGCTAAAAGTTCTTGATTCTTGAGCTTCCGAAGAAATGTGGGTTTTGCTGAGTGGTTTCAGGACATTGCCCTGCAGCTTGCAAGGTTTACGCAAGTTTATTCAATGGCCAAAACACGATTCATTTTTGCTTCTCCATCCCATCCTATCTATGTCTACAAAAATAAACACACAAACACACACACACACATACAGTCGATGGAAGAATTCCTGCACCACCAAAAGGATGGTTGAAACCCATAAATAATGGGATGTTTACCACCTTTCAACGGGTGCAGGATTTCTTCTATCCACAGTATCATAACCTTTAGATACACATGATTTCACATACTTCCAAGCTTGGGCTCATCATTGCAACCCCCAAGTTGGTCCCAATCGGACTGGCCAGTGGACTGGTTTTTGAGATGATCGTGATGGAAGGCTACTGATGAACCACAAAAGCATTCGATACTGTTGGAATATGTAGTGTATATAAATATATAATATATAAAAAGTATATGTATATATATATATATACGTATATACATATTTATACTGTATAGCACATTCGCATGTATATATAATAATATGTTGTCAGGCTTTCCGCAAGATTTCGTGTCCCCAATAATGATCATCTACAAAAAGAGGCCGGGGCCAGTGAACACTCAGTCGTACCAAACGACCAATCGAACTCATATGAACTCATCAACCCTTTGATCTATCAGTCCCTACAGCATGCCCTTAAAAACAGTGGTGAATATGTCCCACGAATCATCAGGTTCAAATAGCTACTGTACATATATAATCTTCAAATCGTGCATATAACATTTTAACTAAATCATTTTCCATAGCTACGTTGAATTATCAGAGGATATCCTGGTTATTTTTCATTCTAGTCTCATGGTCAGTTGTGCTTAGTTTTGCACAATAACCAATCAGTAGGGCTATTTTCACTGGCTCAGAGTAGTTTATGTGGAAAAGTGTTTCCAGGATATTAGTTCAATGATGATCTGGTTGGTGGTATACCTACCCTCTGAAACATATGAAAGTCAGTTAGGCTTATTATTCCCAATCTATGGGAAGTCATAAAATTCCATGATATTCCATGGTTCCAGTCACCACCAACCAGTGATGTTTCCTCCATGATTTCCAGGTATCCAAGGTATAGATTCTATCTATTAGAAAAGGCTTTGAAACCCATCATGTTCACCACATCTTTCGCGAAACATGGTTGGTCCAACCACAATTTTCTACCAGCTTTGAAAGTCATATCCAGCATTTTTCATGGTTAAACCACCAATTGTTCATGGTTAAACCGTCAAACCATGTCAAACCACCATTTTTCATGGTGAATTCCAACATCTTTCATGGTTCAACAACCCTAAACCCAAGCTCTGCTGGCACCTGCACATGGGACACGTGACGCTAGGGCATCCCGCACACTCCGCGGAGCGTTGCGCCCGGAAGCCGCAGCCCGGGCAGGGCTCAGAGGAACGAAGCCTAGGATCTAAAGGGGATTAAGTTAAGTTAATTTAAGTTAGCCATTTATAGTTGATTTACCTTTATAGTAAGGTAGTTTTCCATTTATAGCCATTTATAGTTGATTTCTAGGGCTCACATGATTAAGTTGAGTTCGCCATTTATAGTTGATTTACCTTTAAAACAGGGTGAATTTCCATATAGTTGTTAGTTTTCCAGGGAAAGTGGGGTTATAACTAGCTTAATGTGGGTAAAACAATGCCATAAATCACCAATGACTGGGAATGGTTGATACCGCCTATAAAAATGGTGATAGGTGGATTTATAACCATCAGTATGACTAATACTACTGAGGATAGAAGAAATCCTGCCGGTTGGCAAATGGTTTATCACACTATAATCCATAAAAGTTTCATAGGAATCCCAAAAGTTACCAACTGGGTTAATTATGTCATGATCATTAATGGGGGTAAAACAATGCCATAAACCACCCATGACTGGGAATGGTAACCATAGCACCTATAAAAATGGTGATTTGGGTGATGGGTTATTATTGTTTTACCCGCATTGAGTGAAGTTAGCTATTAACATCTATTAACTAACAATTGAACACTTCTTTGTTAATCCCATTAGTGAATTATAGTCAATTATAGTCATATACTTAACTAACAATCATGATCCCAAACGTTGTTAACATGAAACCTACAGTTATTTGGTTAACTGATGCGATTAGTTACTTTACATGATCCCCTTAAGTTGAATATATTAATATCTCTTAAGTTAAATCGTTCGGATGAATAATCCCATAAAAGGATAAAACTAATTATTGGCAACGATGACTCTTATTCATGCGATTATGAATACCTTGAGTTTCATGGAATTATTTAATAGCGGAATGTTTTCATGAATCCCATTATTACCCTCTGGTAAGAAACAGTTTGCTATTGAACATGGCCCATAGAAATAGTTGATTTACCCAGCTATAAAATGGTGGATCTTTCCATAGTTATGTAAACGTTTACCAGAGGGTACCCTCTGGTTATTTAACATAGCCATGGAAAATCACCATTTTAAATAGGTAAACCATCTATAAATGGGCCATTTTCTATGGCTATGTTAAATAACCAGAGGGCAACTCGCTTAATTTAATTTGTCGGGAACATCTACCCGTTTACGGACTCAATTCATGGGATTTTTCCATGATCCCAGGCCGTCCTTTCCGGCCGAGTTTTCATGGATTAAACTGAAAAATCTGGGATAATTCAACATGCAATAATTTAACTTAATAGAACTTAAATAATTAAGATTATCCCAGAAGTTAATTAACCAAATTTCATTAAGTTAACTCATCCCACTAAGTTGAATATATTAACTATTTGATATCACTCTCGAGTATTTAATTACATCAACCCCATTCAACATGATCAACTATGAATGGTGTTAAGTATCAACTTGGGATTAACGCAACTGTTAATAAATTTATTTTACAAATGATCAGTGTTCAAAACCCCTGTTGGCTGATGTTTATACAGGGTTATACCATCCAATATATAGTTGCACGGGGGATTATCAAAATCTATTATGATAATCCCATTCTTATACAGCCAATCAGCGTAACGGGACGACAGAGGGTTTTGAACGCAGCTCAGGTTAATACAAAAAGTTTTTATATATATCTAGTATCAACTTCGAATGATCACCAATGTTCTAAGACTTGAGTCAAGTCAACCAATTTAGTTAGATTAACAATTACAATAGTTGATCATGAGTTACAATAGTGGAATTAAGGGGATTAACTTCAGCATCAAGACATGGAGTAGCTATTAAAGCCAACAATCGAATTGTAATGAACTCATACTCAATTTCAACCAATGGTTACCAAACCACCAGGGAATCATTGGTTGGAATTCGTCTACCTTAAGTTAACCAATCAAATTATTAGTTAAGAGTTGCACGAAGGATTTAGCTATCAAAAAACTATATACAACAAAGAATAAGTTCAGTAATTTATGAAATAATTGAGTCAAGCCACCAATATCTCAGTCATTGATTAACAATAGTCACATACAACCACCACTATAATTATCATCACCCGGATAATGTATAGGAAGATCCCATCAACAAACAAGCAGTTACGTAAGAATCATCGACTCGTGATTCTCCTCAAAGCTCCACGTGGTTCAGTATGCCAATTGCCATGTTTGCTTCAATTGAATCATCAAAGAAACTGAATTATAGAATTTAGATTCATGAAGATTAGTATTTAATAACCATAGCTACAGTATTTATAGATTCTTCACTGAAAGAAATTTGACAATGGTCCTTCTCCAAGACAATTTGGGGATGAGCCCCAAGGATCATCCGTTTTTTCCGAACCTTCTCAATTTATTTGGGAGTTCCTATATATATATATATATATCTCTCTCTCTCTCTCTTAAAAAAACAAATATATATGTATATAATATAAACCTATATATAATTATATACATATGTATATAAATACATATAATTATACATCCGTATATATATATATATATCGATAAATAAATAAATCTATATATATTATATATATATAATATAGAAATGTAATATGGAAATGCAACTAAGGTACGAATATGTATCGACCTCTCCTTTTCTCACCTTCCAGGCCGTGCCAAGGGACAAGTATAGCACTGATTTCGCTTCGTCGTCGCTGGTGGCATCCATCACTGCCTGACGATTCTGGAAGTAACCTGATGATTCTATGACCTTTAACTTGTGGCCGTTTGCTTTTACTCAAATTATCTGATTCTGTTGAGCTGGTACAAAATTCTTGGGCATCTGTCATGACATCTTCTGCATGGTGGGAACATCGGGTGAGTTTGCGCCCTTGTTTTTTCAATGTGAAACTGCTCAAATCCACGAAGAAGCAGAGATGGGAAGCATCCAACGGCGAGCAATCAAGGGTGGCCTCTGTTCTACTCATTGCAACAAAAAAAACTATTGCTAAAATTCGCATATTAATAATTATTAATATATATATATATATATTCATGATTATTAAATATTATTAATGCATATATTAGTTCCTATCTTTCCTCAATTTCCCAGGGGGATCACTCAAGAACCGTCCACTGCGCCAAAATCCAGTCCCTTCCAGGGGCACCGTGGTAGCCTGACATGCTTGGCTGGTCAATGGCAAGGTCAAGACCCCCACGTCGCGGAAGTCCATGCCTCGGTCCATGCGTATCTGTTAGACGTATATGATACATATATACATGACACATTATGATATATATATATATATATGTATTGTCAATTGGCAAGCGGATTCTATTCCAACACCACTTCCACCAGAAAGCTGCGGCCTCGCAGCAGTTTTCCCCAGCGCACGCCTCGTGCGAAGCAGCCGTTCCACGGCTTTGTGCTAACGAAGGAACCAGGCCGTCCACGGCCAATCCAGCCAACCGTATGGCGCCAAGGTGCAAACCCTCCCACCGCACGTCCGGCTCGCCTGAGCCATACACCTTTGGAACACTCAGGTTTGAAACCTGGCAGGATTATCTTAGCAGGTGTTAAATGGCTTTTATGTGCAAGTGAAGGACCGGCTGGATGGGAACCCTGACATGTTTAAGGGATCAGAAGTGTACATTTCACATTCCCAAAACTTCAAAGTTTTTCAGACTTAGGACACTTCTGATCAGTCGCAGTCCGCAACCATTTGAGGCGATTTCGGTTGGATGCTCTATTCTTAAGGACTTCCTCTGAGTCATGCAAGCAGTAGTGTCCATTTCTTAAGGTTTCTCTGAGAAAGTTTGCCTCCATTACCTTCGTTAAAGCGTCGGCAAGCTGTGCACCTGAATGCACCCAGTGGAGTCTGATACCTTCGGACATGATGTCTTTAATCGAACGAGCAAGGAGTTGTGTGCGGAATTCCTGACAGTTTGGGATGGCTGTTCTGGTTGTCAAGTCATACAGGCTTTTACAGTCGGTGATGGCAAGGTCTTGGTCATTTACTCGGTATGTAGGAAGGGAAATTGCTGGGGGAAGGTTTTTTGCATCTTCAGGTCTCTGCCATGCAGTGTTTGGATTGAGGATCCAAGCCCAGTACAAACGCATCCATGTGAGTTGATCCAGGGTCGTTGATAATGCTGTTGTTTCTGCGGAGAGTGTACTGGTGACTATTCTTTGGATTTTCTTGGTTCCCCAGGATAAGGGACTTATGGGACATGATTGGTTTCGGGTGATATCTTGGTGAGTGGCAAGTATAATCATACCAGCGTGGGAATCGGGCTTACTTTTGGATGCGAAGGACGCATCTGAGAAAGCTATAAAACGCAGGTCCTTTATGTTGATGGGTTTTATCTTGATGCTGACGTCGCTGTGTTTCTTTGCATTGTGAAGGACTTTATTGGCTGTTATCAGTGTTGCGATTGTTGCACTGTTGATTTGGGATTGGAGATGGCTGAGGGCGCTTGCGATATCAGGTCGGGTATGTACGGCGGCATACTGAAGGGATCCTACCAGGCCTCTGAGATTATGCCTTTCTTCTTCGGTTACTGGCTCATTTTCTTGGGATTTTCGGTCGGGTTTGATGGAAATTGGAGAAATGTGATTCACATACTTTGTTTGAGAAAGTTCAATACTTTTGTCAGGATGCTGGCACATTTCGATTCCGGTGAAGGTGAATGATTTTGACTTTTTGGATCCAAAAGGATATTTTGCTTCGAGTTTGGAGATTTGGGAATGAAAATATGAATCACCACCGTGAATTCCATCATCTACATGGATACCCAATGCACCTGAAAGTTCTTTTGTCTCGGGATGTCGAAGAATGTAAAGGCATGGGTCGAATGGGCTTGCTTGGAAACCTAGGGCTCTCAGCTCCTCACATAGGGTCTTATACCAGAGAAAAGGTGCATCAATTAATCCGTAAGCGGATTTATCTAATTTGCACACTTCGTTTTCATTTAGGCTCATGGCCTTGGATAATTCTGGTACAGGTTCAATGCCAATAATTCGATCTTGTTGGGGTTTTCCTTGGAGAAATGCTGCACGAATATCGAAAGAACCTAAGGACCAACCCTTTGATGCGATCAGCTGTAGGAGAAGCATTTTCGATTGTCTTCCCAGTGTCGGGCTGTCTCTTGGAACTTCGGTGATATCGGGATCGAGGTATCCAAGGACCACTAGTCTGGCTTTGGGTTTGTGGGTCTTCAGTTTTTCTGACTTGAACTGGCTGGTTTCTTTGGATTCTGATTTTTCTTCCAGGGGTTTCCACACCAAAATCCATCTGCATCGCAAAATTTGTTCAGGCGCTAATTTTGATCTAAGGATTTTGGAAACGGTACCCGTGCTTATCCAGTTTTGGACTTCATTTTCTTTGGCTCTCTTGAAAGCTTGAATTTCTTCGGAAGTCAAAGGGGATAGCTTCACTTCAGTGCGCTGTTTCTTCTCAGTGGATGCTATGAGGATTTCATCGGCATGCCAGTGTGACAATTGCTGAGTTGTAACATTCTTTGGAGCATCCAACTCAAATCTCCATGCACATGGTGTCTCTGCTGGATCTACGTTCATTGCCAAATCATCTACGCATAGCAGGTGCGTTGTGATGAGATCATCAGCACCTTCTGGCTCAGGGTCATTTGGTTCATGAGCTGCTGGTTCATCATTTCGCTCTTGATTGGTGGGCAGTTCAAAAGGGCTTTCATCAGGTTCCCCATCAGGTTGATCTTGGGACTGGCTGTTATTGTCGGTATCATGAACGGATCCTTCAGGGTTATTGTTATGATCATTGTTAGTAACAGGTTCATCAAGTGGAATGGAAATTACTGGTGCAATGTTGGGTTTCCCTGTAGTGTTTATGGGTGTTCCTTCAGGTAAGCTGTGAGCTTCTGATGCGCACACAGGTCTCACATGTTCGGGGGCCCTTCTATGTAACTTCCCTCCCATGGATGCCCAGATCGAAAAGCGATCTTCTTGTTGAATGACCTTCAACGGGCCGAACCAATAGCCTGGCAAGTTCTTCTGTGGTTGCCACATCATGATCCATTCACCTGGCTCATATGCTGTTCTGTCTGGCCTCGATCTGCGGAGACAGGCTCTTCTCAGTGCCATATCATTGTCGGCTTGATGATATGCAATTCTCGCCTTCTCGCGCAGAGCAAGGTTCCGGCGAAACATGATTCCATGGGCATCTTCTCTCATGGCACTTTCGTGAGCTGAAACTTCGTCACTGCTCACATTGGAACCAGGAATTTTAGAGCTTTTGCCGAACACCAATACTTCAGGGGAAAAACCTCTGCGAATGCTCAAGGTATTCTTTGCATGGGTGCACTGGATGAGGGCTTGTTGCATGTCATGGACAGAAAGGATAGGATTTTCGGCATCAATCTTGGTCAGCATGGATTGAAGGATTTGGCCATGTCTTTCACTTCTACCGTTCTGCCAGTGAGCATTTGGGCACGTAACTGTACTTTTGACATCATGTCTTTGAAGAAATTCTTCAAACTTCTCACTGGTGAACTCTGTGGCCGAGTCCATGATCATTGCATTTGGAGGTCCAGCCCATTGAAACCACGCTTCGGAGATCTTCTGTACAGCTTGCTCGGCTGCTCTGCTGGGTGCTGGTACCGCAACATGGTAGTTGGTGGCTTGATCAAGTATATGATAGAAATGAAAACTTTGCCCCCTTTGTGAGGTCCATGTAACCCCATCAATAAATACCTTATCGTTGAAATCCAGTTCGGTCTTGAAAGTACTGGGTCTGGAAATTTTGGGTCTTTGTTGGGAGGCACATGTTGAGCACTTCATATCATATACGGCTTGTGATACTTCTGATCGGCACCCTTGGCTGCGCAACACCTGGCTCAGCTGCTCTGGACTTGGATGGCACAAATTTTTGTGTGCTCTCTTCAACATGGCTTGCTCTTCTCGAGGTAACGCACGGAAACGTGGGCCATGCGATTCCATGTCTGAGGTCTCCTGCTGTGGGATTTCGTGTGTGAGGTTTTTGGTGGTGGTTCTGACATCCTCATTTGTTTCAGCTGCTTTGGAAGTGTCAGGAGTAGACATTTCGGGATGTTCCTGCGGTTCTGTCAGTGATTGTTCAAGAGTGACCTCAGGCATTCCCTGGTCTGATGGCTGGGCAGGCTGATCGGTTCCTTCTGGCTCTTCTGTACATGGTGCACGAATTGGTTTCGATTCAGGATTGGCTGCAAACATCGTTATATTCACCCGACACGGCGGAGAGGGTCTGTGGAGCTGCCTATTTGATATCTTATCATACTTTTCCCAACTTCGTTCAACCATGATTTCTTGAGTGTCTCGAACTTTCAGGATGGATCTACGATACGGGGCTTCTTCCGGATGCATGTTGAGTGGAGGTCCTAGCCTACGATCAGTCCCCTTACAGGCCAAAATCTTCTTGATGTCCATGTCAACAAAAATCTCTTTGGCATTCTTCAAAAGTTCTGGTTGGTCAAGCACTTTTCTGCCTACCCGTGGAAGAATTGGTTCGATTTTGTTCATCATCTTTTGGATTTGCTCGGATGCAGGTTCAAAGTCATGGAACTTGGGCGGTTGTTCGGACGGGTTCTCGGTGACCACTTTAGGTCTCTTGGCAGTTCCGGACCGGTCGGATGCGCCAGTTGCAGCAGGGGTCTTGTGGCCCCGAGTCGGATTCAATCGCACTCGCTTGGGAGGACGTTCTTTGGCACCTGTTGCAAAAACTTCATTATGGAGTTGGTCAAATAGGATTAAGGCTGGATCAGCGATTGTTCCCAGTGGCTTTTCCTGTGGAAATTTGTTCTTGATCAACGTCTTGGCAACCAGGCGACTGAACTTCCTTGGATAGTTTTCTGTGAACTCGGAACGCAACATCGATTCTCCTTGCCACACGGTGGAACCTTCAACAACTTGGTGGTCATGATCTTGGGAACACTTGAGGTGGTTGAGGCTATCAAACGTTCTCTGAGAGCTAGTCATTATGTGCAAACCTTTTTTCATGAGAGCATGATTCTGGGGATCTCGAAGTTCACCTGCACGACAAAGATCAGGCTTTGCGCTCAACATGTATCTATGGAGTTCTTGCAGGTATGGCAAGCGGATCATCAGAGACCCTTTTGGTTGCTCAAGGTGAGCATGTCTCTGGCATCGATGTTGGTGGCGGCACAAAACAAGGCACAAAGCAATCTGGCTGAGCATCTCTTCCCTTTGTTTATTGATTTTATCCCAAGCTACCAATGACCTTTGGCTGTTGAACTGTGACCATTTTCCCCAGGGACCACAGGTTGGACTCATCCAAATGTTACGGGGTTGATACTTCAGGACCAGTGCAAACAGCCTACGGCGGCCCTCAGTGCTTTGGAGATCACCTTGGTTCAGGCCGAACCGGAATGCAATTCCTCCCAGTTTCTGGACTTGCTCTGTCAGTGTGCTTTGTGGACCGCAAAAGATCTCAATGGCATCGATGCTTCTTTGTGATTGATTTGTTACCCCCTTCATATAGATGAGTTCCCTCTCAATTTTATTGACTAGATCCCAGAACTTTACCCTTTCATGATTGGGGATAGATTCACAAAAATCATCAATTTCGCCAGCTTGCAGGGACCAGGTGCAGGTCTCATCATCTACGGATTCCAGGGATCGTCGAATTCCACTTGTGCAGTCTCGTGGGTCGACATGGCCTGGTGGTTCTGCATCTGGTTGTTGGCACTTTGGGACATCAGCGCGATCATGCGCTGCATGGCATTCTCCAGGTTCAGCATTCTCTCTTGGAGGGCATGGACATTCTCTGCTAGTTCCGTGGTTTCTGGATGCGGCGGCATCGGACCCTCGGACATCATCTCGAAGGCTTCGATCTCTGGATCCACTGGCAACTGCCAGTGATTGCTTGGGCTGGGCATGCTCTTGGCTTTGGCAGCCAAGGACTTGGGAAGTCCCTTTGGCTTGGCACACACTGGAGGATTGTTGACTTCCCCGGCCTCGCTCTCTTCCACTTTCAAGTGAATGAACTTGATCATGAGACGGTGTTCCGTCCGAGTGCTCTTCTGGTAGTGGCTCATGAACCATTTCACCCATTCCGGATCGGAACGCCAGACTTCCTCGTGTGTTTTGCCCAGGTGGGTCTTCCCAAACGTCACTGGAGTGTCCTTGATGTCGCTCAGCTTGAGACCATCGAGCGTCTCCTGATCTGCCGCAGGCATGTGTGCCTGAACTTTGGACAGGCGCTGACTCCAAGAGCTCATGGCGACTTGCTGAACAGTCTGGAGGCTTTTCTGCACGATTGCTTTGAGACCAAAAATTGCTCTCATTATGTTGCTTGATTTCGGAGTCTGCCGTCTCAACACCTATCCCTTGAACCTCTGAACCTGGTGTTTTCTTGACCTCTGGCAGTGGCTTTCTGGATTGATCTGAGACTGGCAAACGTTGTGCGTCTGTTTTGGCTGGCTCCTGAGTGTCCTGTGCATATGTCTCAGCAGGCTCTGAAGAGCTTCTGGGCACGGGTGCAATCTGAAACAACATGTTCATGTCGATTAGATACAAACCCTTTGAAGACAACTTCAGTGGAATTTTGCAGTCATGTTTTGGCAAAACGAGGATGTCCTTTTCCATATCTATCATGGCACCCAATGCTCGCAAAAGCGTATTGGAAATTAAGAACGGAGTTGATCCTTCAACCACTGCAATTTTGAGTCTCATGCCTGCCAGTGGCACAACCATGGCATGTGAAGCCTTTAGTGTGCCTTGATTTCCAAACCTGAACACAACATCACATGAACAACGTTGCACTTGTTTCCTGACTTTCGGATCCATGGCATTAAGAAAACTGGTCACATGATTATTCCCCATTACGGTTTTAGTAGCACCAGTATCTATTATACCCCATGAATCATGAGTGGCAAACATTGTATCTGCTGCGGAGTTGACAGTGGCTGGGATTGGACTCCTCACTGGTGAAAATTTTCGGGAACTGTCGCTTCTCAGGTGGCTCACGGCGGTTTTGGAGGCAAAATGCCTTTCGGTCACATTGCTCGGGCACAAAATGTGCTCATGGGTCAGTCTGCTGGGCTTGCAAGGGCTCGGATGCTTCGTCTGCGAACGGAGCTTCGCTTCAATCCTGTGCACGAGTGACTTTACCCCAGAATTAGAATTATTGTTACCCTTAACATAATCGCTAATTCTCTCCCTTAGGACCCTCATGTTCTTGGATTGGCAGGCTGGCTGTGAGGATTTGTTTAAACACTCAATTGAAAAAACTGTCTGTACAACATTTGAGGCTGCAATCACGGTGTCCTGCGGGCTTTCCTCAGACACCAGAGGAAGATCCATGAACTCGGCTGCCATCACTTGGTCTGATCCAGTGGTCGGAGATGCAACTGAAAGAGTCACTGCAGCGGACTGTGATGTCCCAGAGTTGCTTGATGATCGAGAAGGGCATTCCCCCTTCCAGTGGCCTTTGCGACCACACAATCTACAGTGGCTTTCCAGGATTCTCTGCTGCAAACTTTTTCTTCCCCAGTTGGATCGGCCTTTGGCCTTGCCTTTGCCAAACTTGGATTTTCCCTTTCCGATTGGAAAAAAGCCTCTGGCTCGAAACTTTTCACTGAGCTTCCTGCGGGCTTCGACATACGACGTGTATGCCGTGGAGAGTTCATCATCAGACTGCAGCAATTCACTGGCGGCTGCTTCATAGTCAGCCACAAATGCGGCATCATTGTCACCTTCGGCAAGCAGTGTTTCAATCATCTCGTCCTCATCAAAGTCTTCATGGTGAACCTGATGTACCTGGTCATCCATGTCACCTGATGGCTCTTGATCTTCCGTCAGCAAAACATTGGAGTCATACACCTTTGTCTTGACTGTCTTGCGTCCTTGTCCGGTCATCTCCTGGAAGAACGAAGTACCAAGCATTCTCACTGCTTCACGAACACGGCCTATCGTCAGTTTTCCATCCAACGACTGGTCGGAATCCAGAATGATTCGCTTCTTGTCCTCGCTCGTGAGCGATGCTCCCCGAAGCGTGATATACGCTTGGAGATCTTCCATCTGCAGTTTCTGACTGGAAAGCTTCGACCAGAGCACGTCTGCACGTGCTAAGTATGAGTCATGGCTTTCATCCGATTGTTGATTGCACTGATACAAAGCCTTCTCAGCATCTGAAAAACGGCGTTCCAGGCCTGTTTGGCCCCAGTGTCCTCCGAGGTGCTCGATGAGCTTGTGCACGGACTTGGCCTCATTCGTACTTAACTCAGTGTGGTGCAGCTGCAACTTAGCAAATGCAGACCCTGATGTATTCAGAATGAGCCTAGTGACAAGCTCTGAGATTCTGTTCGGCGGCCAAACTGTTAACACCATTTGTACCTTCTGTTGGTACATCTGCAGATCATCCTTCGACGGGTCAAAACTGGGCACTAGCGAAGCTAGTTGATTGGAGATGTTCCCCTGACCATCTCCTCCAGAGCTTTCAGACATGACTGCCAATCCAGCGATGAAAACTTCGTCTCACCTTCTAAGGACCAGTCAAATCACCAGTGGTAGCCCCGGATACCCCCTGCTTCATGCAAGGGGCTCCGCTACCAATGTCAATTGGCAAGCGGATTCTATTCCAACACCACTTCCACCAGAAAGCTGCGGCCTCGCAGCAATTTTCCCCAGCGCACGCCTCGTGCGAAGCAGCCGTTCCACGGCTTTGTGCTAACGAAGGAACCAGGCCGTCCACGGCCAATCCAGCCAACCGTATGGCGCCAAGGTGCAAACCCTCCCACCGCACGTCCGGCTCGCCTGAGCCATACACCTTTGGAACACTCAGGTTTGAAACCTGGCAGGATTATCTTAGCAGGTGTTAAACGGCTTTTATGTGCAAGTGAAGGACCGGCTGGATGGGAACCCTGACATGTTTAAGGGATCAGAAGTGTACATTTCACAATGTATATATATATATATATATGTATATATGTATATATGTGTATATATATATATATGTATATATGTATATGTATATATATATATGTATATGTATATCTAAGCATAGACATAGTTGATGATCATATGCGGTATATATATATATAGTATATATATATAGAGAGAGAGAAATACCAAAAAAGATAGAAAGGAAATTTACCACTATTTTAGTAGGCTTTGACTTTTCTATCTTTTTTGGGGTTGCTAACTGCGTATGTCCATCCCAAAGTCAATTAACAATGATCAAATGCAATTATATTGGTAATTTATAATAATTCACCGACCTGAAATAAGACCATCTTGGGATGATCCCACTTACTAATCATTCCATATCCAATCAGGTCACGATGTGAGGTCACTATAATTCATCCAGAATTATGGCTATCCCTCCATGCATCCAACGGTCACCCATTGGCCGTCCAAGCTGGTTAAAAACACTTGCTGGAAATCCCCACGTCTGGTGGGCACTTATCGACCTACCAGAAGTTCACCCGAACTCTGCAACTTGGAGGCTATCCGGCAGCATGAAAAAACCTGGCCGCAAGAAGGGCGCAGGTTTTATTGCTCTCCTGAAGTTGGCACCATACCAGCCTTTAGAAATCATGGCTAGCTGGGAAATCCCCTGTACATGGGCATTCAAGTTGGGGAATAATCTCTAAAGTCTAATTATGTAATTTTCATTCATTTTCCATAGCTGTGTTTGATTACCGGATGGCAGATCAACTAAGAAACTCCGCGGAAAACATTTCTCTCTCGATTGATATTGCTTGAAGTACTGATATTTCCAAGAAAAAAGTGCTGTCTCACAATTGGGATTCCAAAAATGGCACAATTAACAGGGAAAATTTCAGTTTCCGCAAATGCCCATCCATTGTGAGAGTTGAAATCCCAACAAGCCAAGCTTGCCGCAGTCTGGCGTCCGAACGAGGAGGGTTTCAGGGTTACAAACTCCTCCAGCCCATCAAAATACTGGTACTCAAACATCCCGCCGGGTGCGGAATCGCGCGTGTAGGCGCATCACCATTGTCAAAAAATGACAACCCTTTCAGTGTTTCGTAGCCGTCTCAAAGTAAAAATCTTTGAAAAGAAAAAGGTCATTTTTCTTGCGTTTGGCAACCCTTCCACACGAAATCCGGACCTTTTTCTGCCTTGCCAGTTTCAGTGATCATTGTGCATGTAGACCTGTGCTGTTTTTTTCAACAGGTCAGGACACAACGCGTTTTCCCATCTCCATTGCCAGGATCGAATGTATTGATCAGGATCTCCCCATGCTCAGCGTAGCATCATGGCGTGTTCAACTTCAAACGAACGTTCACATCCCCACCCCACCCCACCCCACCCCATCTCAGCGTCGCATCAATGGCGTGTTCAACTTCCAACGAACGTTCACATCCCCACCCCACCCATGCCAGCGTCGCATCAGTGGCGTGTTCAACTTCAAACGAACGTTCACATCCCCAACCCCACCCCATGCTCAGCGTAGCATCAATGGCGTGTTCAACTTCAAACGAAACGTTCACATCCCCACCCACCCCCATGCTCAGCGTAGCATCAGTGGCGTGTTCAACTTCAAACGAACGTTCACATCCCCACCCCACCCCATGCTCAGCGTAGCATCAATGGCGTGTTCAACTTCAAACGAACGTTAACATCCCCACCCCACCCCACCCCATGCTCAGCGTCGCATCAATGGCGTGTTCAACTTCAAACGAACGTTCACATCCCCACCCCACCCCATGCTCAGCGTAGCATCAGTGGCGTGTTCAGCTTCAACCGAACGTTAACATCCCCACCCCACCCACCCCACCCCACCCCAGCCCATCCCGCGTTGCCAGTTACGTGAACATAAGAGTGCAACATGGTGTGTAAGCTCAAAAACATGATGTGAAATTGGGAATGTTGAAAATGTGTGTCACTACACGTACGGTTTTGCACCCGTTAGCTCAAACATGGCAATGGAACATTTAACATACAGTAACCATTTCTAGATTATTTGCCCATGAACAAACAACCGTTTTTCGTGGGGGATTTCCCAGCCGTTGCTTTTCCACCGTTGAGCGAACTGGTGTCATGGCTCCAAAACCTCGAAGCGCAAATCCATGGTGGGTTGGAAGCTCCACATAACTACCCAAATCAGGCTATGTCTTCAAATTAGGCCCTCTGAAATCAATAGAAACCATATAATTTTCAACATTTCCATGGTTTTCACAGCCATTGCGGGATTTATCACCATTGTCATCAAAAAACATCAAAAAATCACACGCAATCCATCGCAATCGCCTATATTTGATGGACAAATCGAAAAAAAAAAAACATCAAATAAATCTCCACAGATCTCCGAAGTTCCCAGGATTTCCCAGGATTTCCCAAGTCACGGATCATCCAACAACTAACCCCCAGCCCCCAGCCCCCATCATCATTCCACCTTTCAGCGCGTGCTGCGCGAAGATCTTTCGTCGCAGGTGGAGCTCATTGACCATGGTGGTGAACGAGGCGTATTTCACCGTCATGCCGTAGCCTCAGCTTCGCCAGCTTCGCATTGACCAGTGGAATCCAGTGGTTTGATAGGTCGCCGATTTTGCCATGGGAAACGATGGGAATGTTACCCGTTTACGGTACACGTTTACATAACTATTGGACATCACCACTTTAATGGGTAAGTCAACTATAACTGGGCCATGGCTTCCATAGCTATGTTAAATTGCCAGAGGGTAAGTTTTACAAGAATCGCTTTCAGTGTTTCATTGGCTTGCGGGAACACGATGTAACATTTTACTACACTATCCAGCGGTGAATGGAGGGGTGAAGGCAGCCATGGCTATCCATATTCCAGTGGGGAAGCGCTTTGGAGCTACTGAAAGTTCCAACCGCTAATGACAGAAGCCACCGGATCCGATGGAGGCTACAGTCAGAAGCCAGCAATTGGGCTTGCGCCTCCAAACCCACCATGGAGCGGATCGATGATTCAAGAACCCAACTGTCATGTGGGGAAACTCTGCTCCGAAAAGCTGGCCTTTAGCTCCGAACTCCAAAAAAAAACGGAGAGTTTGTCAATTCGGAAATCTGCTTGATGTGTGGTAAAGTTTGTGGGATGATAGCCATGGCTTGCTCCTGGATCGTGGGTTTGCTTTCGAGGCGCCAAACATGAAGCGCCGAATATCGCTTAAATTGATGTATCCCGCGCGCATTGTGTCCTGAGCAGCCAAGGATATGAATAGAATCACACCCTCAAGGGGAACTGCTGCTGTTGCAAACATACGGTGGGTGGAAGAAATCCTGCACCACCTGGGTTGCTTGAAACCCTATGAACAATGGGATAAATCAACTATCAACTGGTGCAGGATCTCTTCCATCCACAGTATTAAGTATCTCTCTATCTGTCTACCTGTCTATCTATCTTTCTGGCTGTCAGTTGATCTGTCTGTCTATCTGTCTATCTGTCCATCCATCTATTGTTCTTATCCTTCTTATCTATCTTATCTATCGATGGATCTATTTATTTATCTATCCATATGCATATATGTATGACCCATATACAGTATGTATACATACGTAATAATTATGTGTATATATATAATTGTATATACATAGACCTTACATATATATATATATATAACGTATATAACAATATAACTCTCTATGCAATTCTATCCATGTCTGAAAGGATGTCTCACTGAGTGGAAGAAAAACATCACTTCGCCCATGCAGCGAAGGATCAAGCTCAGCAAAAACCTCTTCCACCTCGGGCTGCGAAGTTCTGCAATGATATAGGAAAACCATAGGAAAACCATATGAAATGGAGGTTTACCATCTGCTTATTTAACACAGCGAACTGGAACATCCTTTATAAATGGAGGTTTTAATGGGAAAATCATTTCAGGAATAGTTCTGTTCAGGATATGCTGGCTTCGCCATCTTTACCACTGAAACTCAAGATGATCAAGAGACTCGATATTTTTCCAAAGAATCAAAGCTACCAGTGAAGCCTATAGCAAATGGACAGCTTGAACTCCCAAATATTCTCGGCTTCGGATTCCAGTGGCAGCACGATGAACCACACGCCACCCAGGTGCAGTGCAACACGCTGGCATCAGCGACTTCAGATCTTCCACCTCATTCTGCGATTCGCAGCAAAGGTCATCACTTTGAAATGTCGAAACAACATACCCTCTGGTGAACTAACATAGCAATGGAAAATGGCTATTTATAGTGGATTTTCCCATTAAGAATGGTGATTTTCCATTGCTATGTTAGTTCACCAGAGGGTATTAATAATGTCATCGTGATTATGATATGATCATTAGATATTATTATCATATGATAATTGTCATATAATTATTGTCATATAATTATATATCATCATATAATGATTATCATCATATAATTATTGTCATATAATTAATTATTATCATATAATTATTATCACTGGTTGGCGGTTTCAACCCCTCTGAAGAATATGAGTTCGTCAGATTGGATCATCATCCCAACTATTGGGGAAAATAAAAGTCATGTTCCAAACCACCAACCAGATCATATACCCTCTGGTAAACTAACATAGCTGTTGAAATCACCATTTTTAGTGTGTAAATGAACTATATGAACTATCAATGGCCATTTTCAATAGCTATTTTGACATAACCAGAGGGTACCATCATATATCATCATTCTCTCGCTAGCATTGTATACTTGGTGGCTCATCCCACGGCTCGTAAGTGGGTTATAACCCCAGTTATAAATGGGATTTTTGTAGGGTTCATCCACTAAAATCACTGGGGTGAACTAACCCACTTTAACTCGCCGTGGGTAGTTCGCCACCATCCAGGCGGCCTGCGAATCCAACTTGGCGATACGCGCCATGACCATCAAGGTCCTGACCATCCCGAGGCTTGGATAAACCACCCATGATGCCACCCACTGGGAGCCGTGTAGCCGTTGAACCACCACAAAATGATGACTGGGTGATGGTTTATGACTGGGTTTATTATTTTTTTTACCCACATTAAGGGAATGTTAGCTATTAACATCTATGAACGTACATATCTATAAAATAGAATGGTAACCAATGGTAACCATACCCCGTCTTTTTTTTAACCTTAACGCAAACATATGAAAAATGGCGGCTGAAGCGCGGTTGCCTCATTTTGAATCGAGGAATTTAAGTGAGACAATGAAGGGATGGATCAATGCTCCTTCGTTCGATAAAAAGTGTCCGTAGATCCATGCGGTTGACCCAGAATATTCTGGTTGGTGGTTTTTCGCCACCCCTCTGAAAAATGATGGAGTTCGTCAGTTGGAGTGATGAAATTCATTGAAATTCCCAATATATGGAAAAATGAAAAATGTCCCAAAGCACCAAGCAGTATTTTTGTGCAAACACCATCCAACTCTTCGTGTCAATCCCAGTTTTCCTTGGGCATAAAACCTTCATTTGATTGATTGCCCTCTCAATAATCTGACAATTTGCTGCTATTGCAAATCATTGAACATCACCAGTTGAAAAATAGGTAAACCATCTATCACTAGGCCATTTTCATCATTTTCCAGCTCGCAAAGTCTTAAACTATCCTCCGGTTATTTAACAGTTTGCTAATTGTGCTACGGCAAATGGGACATGGACCATATATATATATATATATCCATTTATAGGTGACAAACATATTAAACATGGATGATTTCATATGATTTACTTCTTAGAAATGATGAAACTACTTTCCAGTTAAGGCTGCTCCCAACTTCCATGGCGCTAAGATGCTGTTGTACGGCGCGTTGCTCCTCGGGGGATGGATTCTAGGGACAACGACTGAGAAGGTCAGGACTCGCCATGATACAATCCCCATGTCTTCGATGATAAAGTAGCGATTTTTGATCCATGTTTGATGATAGAATCTGATAGGAATCTACATTTTTTTGTGAACATCCTTGGTGATAGAATCCCACTTTGGGGATTGAATTGAAACAACATTTCTAGACATTTCTGACGAATCAACAGTTTGATGACTAGATCATGATAAGAATCAAGATGTTCGATGATCGCCTCACATTTTTCGGATTGTGAAATCCCTGTTTCTGACGATAACATGACATGACAATTTCTGGTATGGCCCCGTTTGGGATGATTAAAATGACCCCGTGCCTGTTGAGATATGGCACTGGGTTTGCCACAGAAAATTGTGTTATTTTTTTGGGGCTGGATGAGGTATCACTTTTTTGGTTGGCTATGAACTTGCATCTGTTTTGAAATGCTTAAATGAAATGCATTTGAATGCTGCAATCATACTGTAGATCTGAACATTTGCAGCTCCAAAGTTATGAAACTTGATCTCATTGGTGGTTGCAATTAACCAGAGAAATGGACAATTGGGGTACAGTAATGCATGTGTATATGCATACATGCTAACAAAAATGAGCATATACACAAAATACCACACGCACGCGCATTATATACATATACGTATACATAATGTAAGCATATCTATATAACTATCTATCATTATCTCTGTCTCTCTCTCTCTCTATATATATACAGTATATATATTCTATACACTTCAACCCACCAAACCCTTATTGAAACTAGAGCTTCTCCATCCCCAGGTACATCAATAAGCCTGTGGAGGGTCAACATGACACTGAGATCCCAGCGCGCATATCCAGGAAATGCTTGGTCTGCCTGAAGCTGTCCATGGTCGGAGAGGTCAAACCTGACCATCCAGCAGGACTTGGCTGCGGCTGTACGACCATGTATCATGCCCATTACTGCGAAGCTCATGCCCATTACTGCGAAGCATGGTGCTGGAATATTTTTAAACCTACAAAACTGGGTGATTTTTGGGGGTAAATTGGTAAATGTAGGTTTTTATATTCCAATATTCCATGGTTCGCAATATGTAGCATGTATTTAACGATGGTTTTTGCCATGTATTTTCGACGAGTTCATTTCCCACCTTCGAATCTGACGAGTTCAGGAGATCGCGGATCTCCATGGCCATCCCGAACGAAGCGTTATGACACATTTCTAGTGGGGAAAACCCCAAAAATACCATGGGATCATATTGATTGGGATCTAATGAAATGGGAAATCTGCTAAATCTATGAGGAGATTAATGAAATGGAGGAGAATATATGTACACACACATATATATATATATATGGTTGAGTTCGACAATGGGAAGGATGACATCCCATATATGAAACGGAAAATAAAAAATGTTTGAAACCACCAACCAGATGGGATCATATATTGGGATGGTTCTTTTTTTTTGTGCAAACCAATAAACATCAATAAACATAATAAGTGATCCAATAAACATCTTCATAATAACCATCCCAATCAGAATCCCTATCGTAAGGATGATCATAATCCATCATAATTTTTGACATTCATCCGGATCATACCCTCTGGTAAACTAACATAGCTATTGAAAATGGCCCATTTATAGATGGTTTACCTATTAAACATGGTGATTTTCCATAGCAAACTGTTAGTTTACCAGAGGGTAATCCCCTTGACCCAACATTGACCATCCATGGAGTCGGCTATCTCCAAGTCTTTCCAGCCCCCACCTGCTCTGAAGCGTTCCAGACTTGGCTCCCGCAAGAAGGAGCCCTCAGTGTATCATGCTGTGCCAGTGCTGGTGGCTTTAAGATATCAACATGAGTCCACCATGATATCATGGGGCTATATGATGGCTATTGCTATTATCCAGGCAACCCGAATACGGTTACTAACATGATATTCCACTCCACTATATTTTTGCATGATGTTTCATGATCTGTTTCCATGATATATGTCATGATATGTCATGCTAATCATGGGGCATTTTAGGGGGATAACTCATCTGGTTTTGTCTGAAACTCCCGAATCCAGTGGTTTAACACATTTTTGGGTTCGCCTCTGGACCTAGCCATTCCTTGGTATCCCACCGTTTTGGGCAAACCCATCCGCGCAACGTTCTGATAGTCCAGGATAGTTCGTGAACAACCCTGACACGTTCGCCCATTTTGGGCCAGTTCCCTAGATAGGAGCCATGCCCCCAAATCGTCCAGAAAGGAGTGTTAAAACACATTTAAAGCCAGCTTTTGGGGTCACCAATTTTCGAACAACCCCTAAACAATTGTATGAATATAACAAATATATGACATAAATTCTGCCAAGTCAGACGGGAACATGAACCAATTGTGGCCATTGGTTAACATTTGGGCTCCCTTCGACCCAGAAACAATTTGGGATGTGCTGGGAACACAGGGACAACCGGGGACAACCAGGGGATTCAGCAGCAATGCGCAGAAGTCTCAGCCAAGCATCGTTGAAACTGCGAGACGGAGAAGGAAGGAAACTCTCAAGGCTGCGTTCCATCGAAAGTCCAGGGTCTTGTGTGGACAGTTCGCTGATCCAGTTTCCAGTGGTCCTGGTGCCATGGTGCCGACCAACTTCCCGTCCCCACGAGCACGAACAGGGTAGACGAGGGACAAAAAAAACTGTGTGGCTTCACTACACATTTCTTATATTTCTTCTCTGAGAAGTGACTGCAGTGGCCCAAATTTCTCAAGACATGGTCTACAAAACAGAAAGCGGGAGGAACTCTTCAGTTTAAGAGATGGAGCTACAGTTCTAATGTGGTAAACCCTAAACCCTAAACCATCCCATTGACATTCCCCGGGTTCCATTGACCAACTATGCTTGAGGGTCATTAAAAAAAGTAAAAACATCCCATTGCCAGGGGACCATAGTATACCCAAGAAGAAACCCCAATTGGGGATGGTAAAAACATGTAAAAAAACGACACGACATCTCTCAGGACCTTGGTGAAGCATGACATGGTGAGCTGTGGCTCTCCTCATGGGCGATTTGGGCGATGGCGTCGCGTTGGTCCAAGACTCATAGAGTTTTTGCCCCGCATGCCGTGGAGGACGTCGATCTGGCACCAAGTAGTCCTCTGGCGATTTGGGGTTTGTTTAAAGGAAAAACGAGGGGAAATCATGGGAAATCCATGTTTTTTTTCCATCCAAAATCATCAAATATTCATATATGACATTAATTGATGTACTACAAGGGTCTTCCATGGTTCTCCTGATCATTTTGCTTTCAATAAGGGCCAACTACCAAACCAAATCAACCATTTTGAGGTGCAGGATCTTGAAGTTCAGCAAGTGGTTGCGAACTGGCTTGTCACCCAGTGCAACTGTTACAGAATTCAGAACGGTGACTACCCAGCCCATCCATATTTTCAGGATAGCAAGCATCTTTCCCATATTTCTCCGGATTGTTTACCCTCCGGTAATCAAATAGGCAACAACCAATTCCCTATTTGAAGGCGATTTTAAAATTCAAACCTTCATTTTTTGGGGCCCTCCCATTGCCAAACTTGATTACCGGAGGGTATAGGGCCTTTGCTTTTAAACACCCATAGTTTCCACGTTTTTTTTCAACAAATCTGCCTTTTTCCACCATCTTTTTCGCCAGGTTTCCATGGAACGTGCGCCCCCCATAAATCGTTTCACACAACCAGAACTTGGCCCAAGTCTCCGGTAGCGGCGTCACGGGACTCGCGGGGCTTCGCACGCTCCGCGCAGGACTGATGGGTTCATAGTCCAAGTTGCGACGGACCGGGCTGCCCAGGTAGCCGCCTTGGACGCAAGGGGACGCCGTTAAGCAGAGCGCCTCTTAAGGGCACCGGTGGTTGGTTTCTGGGAGGTTTCTGGCAGAAATCCAAGGGTGAGAATTGGGGTCAGGTATGTTTGATTTGCTGATTTTCTAGGAATCTCTGCAAAATATAAAAGCTATGAATTAGGTATTCCCGATCAATGCTGGCAACAAATGTTTTTTTTAAACTTGGGAACATAGGAAACGTACCGTTGTGTCAACTATTTTGGCTGAGTGATTGCACATATATACATGCATGATGTGTTCAGAATGAAACAAACATAAAATCCGGTCGAACCATGGTCAATATCCAAATTTATCAAGTTTCACTGTGTTGTATGAAGAAAAAAACTACATTATGAATACCTTGTTTCTTCATATTCTTTCATCCAAACATATCCAAACTACAGGGAACCTTCACTCTAAATGTTCACTGCCAATCACAAGGGCCCATGTAGTAGGGACGCACTTTTCGATCCTTTTTTCTTGGGACCACTGGGAACTGTCATCCTCCCGTGTTTTCTGTGCCCGTGAAGCGCGTACACTGCAGGCTGCAAGGAACACGACTGAAAATTCATGATAGAAACTCCTTACAAATCAAAACTCACAAAAGAGTGCAAAAGAACACTTCAGTTTCAACATATCTCAACATATTTCAATATGTATAATATATATATAATATACTATATATTATATTACATATTATTATATAACATATTTCAACACCCTATATAACCATCGCGTCCAACCTGGACACCATGAATTTCACCAAGCAGCGGCTAGACCTGGGACTTTCGGAGCGTCGAGGACTCACCAAACGCGGAGGGCTCGTGGCTGGCACACGGATGGGGCTGCGCGGACGATCATAGGCATAGCTTTCGAAGGCTGCGCCTGGGATGCTTGGAACACCGGAAACCCATCAATTCAATGGGAGTTTCAGGATCCTAAAATGGAGGTACGTTAGTACCATATGTTTGGCCATATTTTGCTGGGATATTCCCTTACATAGGCCTTACATAGGCCTTATATATGGTAGGTACCTCCAATTTAGGATCCTGAAATGGCCATTGATCAATTGGCCACAACAAACGCGCCAAACAAATCCAAAAAAACTCACCAAAAATGACGTCACAGCTGTTTTTTTGTTGATCGCATCATTGGCATTCATGAATCCCGAATTTACCTTCTGGTAAACCAACATGCCTGTGGAAAATCACACCATTTTCATGAGTAAATCAACATAAAAGAACTATAAATGTCCATTTTCCACAGCATTTTCATGCATTTTCCATAGTTATAGTACTGTAGCAAGCATGCTGTTGTTGATTTTCCCATGTGTGAAACTGCACTGTGTATCTTCTGAAAGGGGTTCATGTCTTGACTATGTTTGGCCTGTAGACGTACACATGCTCTTTGTTGGAGCAAATTTGTCGGCCTATAGTTTCTGTTCCTTCTTTGGTTGAAGTTCTTGGTTTGCTGCAGACAGTTGAAGAAGATCGCTGAGCAGACCACTGATTGATTATGTCTAGAGAACCGTGTTTGCGTCTTCCGACAACGTTGGCGCCCTGGAATTGCATTTTGGGGTCTTGATTTGGGTCCAATTTTGGGCCTTGTTTAGGGTCAATTTTTAGATACCGTTTTGGTGCCCATGAATTAAAAACAACATCATGGGGCCCCAAAGCAGGGCCCAACCCAAAAATGGAACCAAAACAGGTTTCAAAATTGGACCCAAATCAAGACCCCAAAATGCAATTCCAGGGCGCCAACTTTGTCGGAAGACGCAAACAAGGTTCTCTATTAATCAATCAGTGGTCTGCTCAGCGATCTTCTTCAACTGTCTGCAGCAAACCAAGAACTTCAACCAAAGAAGGAACAGAAACTTAGGCCGACAAATTTGCTCCAACAAAGAGCATGTGTACGTCTACAGGCCAAACATAGTCAAGACATGACCCCCTTTCAGAAGATACACAGTGCAGTTTCACGCATGGGAAAATCAACAGCATGCTTGCTACTGTATATTATAGCTATGTTACCAGAGGCTACACCAAACAGGTTGGATTTCATCCCTTTTTAACCATCTCCAGTTGGTTCATAGCCCACCAAACAGGTCCCAGCCACGCTCCGCGGTCCATCCTGCGGTGGGCAGCAGCACGTCCAAGAGCCGACCCAGGGCATCGGCTGGGAAGAATGCTGCGTCCTGAGTTGGGAGAACATCTGGGGGGGTTGGTGGTGCCTCAGTTCGTGAAGAGTTGCTGCAAGTTTAACATCAAATAACTAGGTCAATTATGGTTTATAGATGCTTATAGTAGATATATCTATAATAGTTAATGGGGGGTTTATTAATCAACTTATAACTGGGGGCCACCCCGTGGGTTAAGAATAGGATATTAGCCATAATTAATTATCACGAATAGACAACAAAAAATACCCTGGGAACAGTGGCAGCAAGTTTCGCCCCTACTATGCTTGCCTTCTACCAATGGTGAAGGGCAACAGAGGCCATATAGCAGGGGGAGACTTATCCAGCGGGCTGTTCCCGAAACATGGGACATTTTCATGAAATGAGCTGTCCCTGCTGTCTGAAAATAGGGGAAGCCCCAAATGATATCAATCTGCGGATGATGATGAACCATCGAAACTGGGGAGTGCCCCATCTTCAAACGAACACAGAGGTGCAATTCAAGCGGACGTTGCCTTTGCTTGACTTCTTTAACATCTCATCGATACTTTTTCGTTGCAACACCCAAATGACAGCTTCACACCACTTTCTGTGATGGAACAGGCTCAACATCACTCAAAAGGTGGCAACATGTAGCAGCGAAATCTCGTTAACTTTTACTGTAGTACAAACAAACAACATCATCAAATTGGCTTTGTCTGAACATAGTGTGCACCTAGATCCACTGGTTGCTGTAATCATCATTTTCCCTTCGAAAAAATTCCAATATGGGGTGTCAAGTCACCATTTTCAGGCACGCCCATGACCAAATTCATTTGTGAACTCCAATTGTTTGCTGCTTGAACCACATTTGTTTCCCATAGACATAAATCAATGAAGTAAACTAACATAGCTATTGAACATGGCCATTGAAATAGTGAGTTTTCCCATTAATAGCATGGTGATTTTCCATAGTTTTTTGTAGGTTTACCAGGCCGGGTACCAAACATCTTATTGTTGGTTATACAAGTTCCATATCTCATGACATCCCCATCAGGGTTGGCGAATGTTGGCTCGTTGGAGCCTCCACCGTCTGGGGACGAGTTTCCGAAGGGTTGATTCGTTTCAGCAGGGCGTCGCATAACCTGAGGGCCGTCCAGAGGGATGCAATGACAACATCTGAAAACTTGGAAAAATGCTGGAAAACCATGGGAAACATGGTGAATCAAGAAACAAACACGGATTTAATATGTAATGGGATTTATTGCTGATTTATGATAGCTAAGTTGTTTTATAACTTGGTTGATGGGTTGATTAGGGGGATGGCAAGACAATCAACTGATTCAAAAAGTGAATCTAAATCAACAGTTAGAACCATGGCATCTGGTTGGTGGATTATCCCATATTATGGAAAATAAAATTCATCTTCCAAACCACCAACCATGGCATAGATCAGCTTTCAAGCTCCAATTTGGGCGATGATTTCCAGTGATCACATCCACTTGACCTTCGGCGATATGCCAAGATACATCGATTCCATGGGCCGTGCGTATCCCGGGACACCGCGCATCAGCAAGGAACGCACCGCGGACGAGCACAGGAGACCACCCATGCCTGGAGGTTCGGATCTTCCACTGGAAGAATGAACAAAGTACTTCTGTTCCCACATCATTGTGGCGATTTTTCAGGACCTTTTTTGTGTTTTTCCATGTTTTTCCTAAACTTGTCATTTTTGGCAGAAGGTTACAGCTGTTACCCCTAGACCAGGGTTGCCCCCAACACTCCAGATACTTTTGGGGCTCAAACTGGTAGATAAAGACAAAGAGGTCAAATATAGGTATGGGTCAAAATTGGATACCCCAATCATCAAATGGTTAATATTGGACTTAGATCTGTGGTCCAGGCCTTACATTTTGACCTATATCATAATATCCATAGGGCCAAATGTCATACTTTTCCCCTCGTGGCTATCATTCCTAGGGCTCCAGCCCGTGCCAGCCGGGCGGCCTGCGCAGAAGCCCTCATCCGCATCGAGGTATTTCATGATGGCATAGCCCGAGATCGCCACCTGGGATGTGGGGAGGGACCCATGTTGGCCTGTGGGGAAACCACCGGGGAATGCACATCGAAAGCCGGAAAATGGGAAGATCAACCACGGGATATAACTTGGGGCACCATTCAGACACACCAACAAAAAGGTGTGTGTATATACACAAACAGCATCCAGGGATCTCTGCAAGATTTAGGCTACAGGCAGATTCAGGCACTGGGAAGCCCCAAGATCCTTACAGTGCCTGAATCTGCCATCCAAAAGTGGCATACCAACAATTCCAACAGGTAGTCTAGCCTCAAGACCATCAGCAACATCCTGATGTTCCAACTTTGGGGAACTCTCTTTTGATATCTCTGGGCAAATGAATGGAATTTTCCAGTGAAGGCCAAATCAAATTTTCTGAATGATGGAGATGGTTCCCCCCTATTCCAACCATCATTCAACATGATTGAAACCACAAAATCAGCCATTTTGAGGTTTCTGAACACCAAATTGGCCAGGGCCAATGATCATGATTTCAAACGTGGCTGATTTTCTGGTTTCATGATGTTTAACCATTTCAATGATTAATGGTGATTCCCTCTAGACGACTCTAGACTCTTTTCAGTGCCAATCTTAGATACCCTGTAAAAAAAACAATTCTTTGCTGGTGAACGTAGATAATCCCATACCAAAAGACTCTGTAAAGGATTAGTTTGTATCCATCTAGTATATCCTTTGGTAAACTAACATAACTATGGAAAATCAACATGCTATTAATGGGACAACTCACTATAGATTGCCGTTTTCAACAGCTATTTTGACATCACCAAAGGGTATCTAGTCGGTTGACCAATCGTAGTTACGAAAATTGGTGAATTGTCCATGGCCATGATTTGCAATGTGAAATCTTCTCAGGCCGGGTCAGGGAAAAGGTTTCCCGAATTTTATCCCGTTCGGAACAAGTAAATCACCAGGGCTATTCACCAGTTACTAAATGGGTACTTTAGTAGTACTTTAGTTGGTGGTTTCAACCCCTCTGAAAATATTAGTCAGTTGATGTCAGTTCAAATTACTATTCCCAATATAGAACAAATAACATGTTCCAAACCACCAACCAGTAGTTCTAAGCATAATTAGATTGACCTAGTTCTAATTATGCTAAATATGGCTGGTTTATGACATTTACCAACACTACTCCTGAAATTACCCTCTGGTAAACTAACATAGCTATGGAAAATCACAATTTTTCATGGGAAAATCCACTATAAATGGTCATTTTCAATAGCTATGGCCATTTATAGTGGATTTTCCCATTAAAAAATGTGATTTTCAATAGCTATTTTGACATAACCAGAGGGTAAACCATCATTTATAGTGGATTTTCCCATTAAAAAATGTGATTTTCCATGGTTTTTTGTAGGTTTACCAGAGGGTAAAACCATCATTTCGCAGTGCCAAAAAGGTCAAAGTTCAAACCGCACCTGCCGCAACCTTCGCTGATGAAATCGGAGACGGCTCACGAAGTCCAGTTCCACCAGGAAGAGCCTCGAAAATAAGGTGACTTTCATTGGATTGGTTTAAGGGAAAATTTACAGGAAACCATAGTTTTTACCATCAAATATAGGGGTTTCCTGTAAATTTTTCCATCATCCAATTCTATGAGACTTTTGAATGGGATTTGCGTTTTTTTTTCTCCAGTTTCAATGGATTTTCAGGATTTCATGGGGTTTTTTTCGTCACCCAAACCTGATCTCAATGGATTATTGAAGGGAAAACACAGGCAGCCCAGAAGAAACCGCGAGAATAAAAACCGGGGCCCAGGGTGTCCGGTTTCAATTTTCAAACCACAAAAAAAAACGTTATCCAATGATATCCGCCTGGTTGAGCCGCACCTGAAGTTTCAGCCGCAGAGGAATGGCGGCTGATGTTGTTGGATACCCTTTGGTCATTCAACGGTTTGCGACGTAGAACATGGCCATTGGCAGTTGGTTTATCGATTAAAAACGGGTGATTTTAACCATAACTGTGTTAGTTTAGCAGAGGCTATATCGATATCCTCTGGTAAACATACAAAAAACATCAAAAAACTATGGAACATCACCATGCTATTAATGGGAAAATCAACGAACTAAATGGCCATCTTCAAGTTCGCAAACTGTTAGTTTAGCAGAGGGGACCCATCGTACATCGTACAGGGGAATCACCGACCCAACTGGGCCTGGGCCCTCAGCCTGATGGCTCCATTAACCCAGCAGCCCATAGATTCCATAGATCTGCCCATGCCCGGCCGTGTTGCCTATCTGCCAAAATTCACCAGATTCACATATCTATCTATCTATCTATACAAGGTGGTGCACCATAGTTAGCTAAGTTGGTAAACATAACTCCAATAACTATGGTTTATGGTAGATATATCTATAGTATTCATGGGGTTTATAAACCAACTTAGCTAATCACTGGGGGGGCACCACCTTGTATCTACAGAATCTGCCAAGAAAATCAGCGGGCTCACAACGAATCTCCCCATTGGTACAACTTGTCGTTCATGGATCCCTCAGAATTTTTCCGCAGCCACTAGAAACCATGGGTTTAGTAAGGGATTTACACCTGTCTGGGACCATTTAAGGGGTGTTTTGCAGATAGGATTAAATCTAGATGATTGAATCCTGCGAGCAAATTTTTCTTGGTGGTTTGTTGATCCCCTTTGGGTGTACTGCCAAAATATCCAGCGAAAAATCCTCAATCCACTCCAATCTATCCGAAGTAGTAATACTGTATCTACAATCCTCAGATATCAGATATCCTAACGCTTAAATCCCTAAGATCTCATATACCCTCTGGTAGTTTAAAGTAGCTATTGAAACATAGTATATCATGAAATCTAAAAAAAACAGCAGGCTATCCTAAGATATCAGATACCCATAGATTTCAAATATCTGAGAGATATCCTAACCTCAGATATCAAATATCCATAGATATCCTAAGGCTAAGGCTTAATTCCCTAGGATCACTCCGCCGAGGAGCTGACAGAGCCTGTAACTCACCTCGGGCGGCATATGGCCGGGCCGGGCGCCGCGGGCCAGCGCCAACTCCTTCGTGGTGATGCAAAACCAAAGGGGGGTTTACCACTGGTTTACCAACCATAAGGTGATAGATGGTGATAGGATTAGCAGGAATCTCATTGGGATGGGATGAGGAGAATGTTTGGGATATAACTTTTAAGATACTTTAAGTAAACGTAAGTGTTATATATGATATATATATATATATATACGTATATATATTCAACAAAGATCTTGTAAAACGAACATCGCAGCTCCAATAGACCTTGCCATATCTCCAATCAAGCGCTAGTTTCAGATACCCGCTCAGATACCCGCCGGTGTCAAAGACAGCATGGTTGGTCGGGAAATCCCTGAACTAAATGCAGGCTTCTAGCCGGGAAAATCATCGAACTAAATGGTGGATTTTCCATTGCCACGTTTGACTACTGGAGGAGAATCATATAACATGATTACATATTATATAAAACCATGTAAAACCCATGTAATACGAAGATCCCAGCTCCAAGCACCTTCGGAGACTGAGTTTGGGAACGTGTTTTAGGGGGTCCAAATGCTTTCCTAGAGGCCATCTGGTGCATTTTTGGGATAGTTAGGGTGACAAAAGCACCACAAATGTTCACAATCTTTGGCATCTCTGGCAGGCTGAATTGTAGATTTTAAGGACCAGTTCGATGCTTTTCTAATTAATTACTTGCCACAAAAAAATGACACACATTTTTCGTAGAGGCATCACACAAGTTTGAAGTCTTGGGTGTCCCCAAAAAGTGAAGCCTTATTAGAGGTTGATCAATCACATCAACTGATCACGAGAATTGCTGGTCATTGGATGTACTTCAATAGCGGGACTTGTCCACCCACCAGAACAGATTGCCAAAGGGTACCAAATAGGATGCACCACTGTTGGCACCAAGCCATCCCTTCCCAGCTCCTTTAACCAACCGCTGGAACGAAACGTGGGTGTGGTCATTCGCACAAAATCCTGATGTGACAAATGGCACGACAAGTTACCGGCCTGGCATGACCTTGCCACCGTCACACGAAAATCATGCGTGCAGCCAAACAATAATATCACTTCACATATCAGAACCAAAAAGTTGGGAGACTCCGAGTACATTCCCATCAAGAACAAACACTTTCTGGATCTTCTCCCAATTTTTCCAGCTTTTTCCCATCCTTCGGAGCTATCCCCCGCGCCCGGCCGCGCGCCTCAGGAAAAATCTCAAGGGTGCCTGTGCGCAACTTGACGATGGCCAGCACGTCCTCCAGCACATAGCCTGCGGTGATGCGGAGGAACCAAGCCACAAGCATGGGTCAAAACAAAAAGTTGCGAAACTGAACTGATATATATATATATATGTATGTATATATATATATATGTATATGTGTGTATATATGTGTGTATATATGTATCATAAAACAGATTGTATAGTACAATATGATATAATACAGTACACACATATATATATATGTATATAGTATAATACAATGTAGTGTGATATAGCATATAGAAAAATAAATACATATATATATATAATTAGTAGTAATGTATATATATATATATATAACAATACATAACACAGAATGAGGGGATCTGGCCGAAGGATGATAAGGCAACAGGCAACAGCCAATTGAGGGAAGGAAAACTGTACTCAGTATGGGAACTCGTGCCGTGCGGTGGGTGGTCCACATGTATCCACCATCTCCTTTGGAGATTCCATCAATATATATGGGTGGTTTACGACAATGCTTTACTATGCTTTACTAACATGACGAGTATAGGGTTTTCTGGTTTCAATGTTCCAAAACGATCCGATTCTGCAAGAAACCATCTGCAAGAAAGCAGGCTGGAAAAAAGAATGGGCCTGGACCAGCTACTCTCCATTTTTACCCTTCTTTTGCTCCAAGTTCATCCATCTTCCGAGCTTTAATCCTGAATTTTCCTCATTTTCTGCACGTTGGTGGCGCGAACCCAACCAGAATCAAAGGTTGGTGGTTTCGATCTGAATGTTACGAGAAAAACACCGAAGATCCAATGGTTTAAAACCAGATTTTCCAGCAGAATGTCACAAAACCTTGGGGTATAACCTCAAATTTTTGACACAGACCTATTTCATCTCATTTCCAGTCTGTAAAAGCTCCCAGCTGATCCTGCATGGTTCCACCAAGATTTTTCACCCAGTTTCCCTCGTTCAATCCTCATTGTTTTTAAGGTGTTCAAGGTTTTGCCCCACTAACTCTCCATGTTTCTGGGCAAATTATAGCAACTCACTGACCTGTTTTATTCGGCCATATTCTAGGAGACTTAGGAGACTTACCCGTACTAACCATCATCATGGTCATTCCAGTGAGGCTGCAGTGGCCGTTGCCTGTCACTGGATGTGGCTGCGATTGCAGCCATAGATGCAGATCGCTGGCGCTCAACCAGCCTCTTGACAAAGGGCTATAGGCAAAATTGGGGGTTTAACCTTCAAACATGGTGAACAATTCAGATTTAACCATCAAGAATGGTCAGCGCATAATATTTTACCATGAAACATGGTGAAGAATTCAGATTTAAATGTCAAACAATGGTTAACAATTAGGATTTCATCATCAAACATGATGCCAAATTTGAATTTACACAGCAAAGATAGCGAACATGGCTGGGATTTAATCATCAAACATGGATAGAATGGAACTGGGCCCAGAGGGAACTGGTGGTTTAGTCCAACAAAAAAAATCAATAGAAATGAGAAACACATCATGGCAGAGATCACAAAAAACTACCCTCTGGTAAACTAATGTAACTATGGAAAGATCCCCATTTTCAATGGGAAAATCCACTATAAATGGCAATTTTCAATAGCTATTTTGACATAACCAGAGGGTAATTTAATATGAACACACTTTGGTGGTTTCATCAGATTTCAGGTCGTGTTCACCCGCAACGAAGCAACCACGACCACGTTCGACGTTGGTGATTTCCATGGATTTCCCATATTGGACTGTGATCATCCGCAATATATTCGATAGATTTGGAGAGTATAGCCTCATATAATTGTCAACCAACCTTGATTTATCAGTTGTATCCACTATCCCCAAAGTTTGATGGCTAGAATCCCAATCAAAACTCATCTGGTTGGTGGTTTCAAAATCATGGAGTTAAAGTCAGTTGGGATGATTATTCCATTCCCAACTGAATGGAAAGTCATCAAATTCCATGGTTCCAGTCACCACCAACCAGTGATGTTTCCTCCATGATTTCCAAGTCTCCAAGGTATAGAAAAGAAAAATCAACCTGTCCAGAGGCTGTGAACCAAACATGTCCCGCCGCCATCGCTCCTTTGATACTTGGACCCTGTATGCATCGAAAGGCCGCCATGGGGTTGAAGTCACACATCTCACCTGGATTTTTATCTGCAACCCGCCAGGGAAATTGTAACGGCTGAACCATGAGGGATTTAGACAAAAATGGAACTTAACCATCAAACAATGGTGCAAAATTAGAATTGAACCATCAAACATGGTGAAGAATTGAAATTTATAGCCAACAATCATAGAGATATGATGGGACATATAATATGACTTCATATTTTAAGCTACACTTTGTTAATCTTGGGAAGATCTTGGGTCTTCCTTGGATTCCATCTTGGGATTGCCTTTTAAAAGCTAGGGAGTTTCCCCTCGAATCACCTGGTTTATGATCATTTTTCCCACTCAAATCGCATAAGGTCATGATATTCCCTTAGATTGCCCTTGCCCTCTGGTAAACATACAAAAAACTATGGAACATCACCATTTTTGATGGGAAAATCCACTATAAATAGTGGCCATGTTCAATAGCAAACTGTTAGTTCACCAGAGGGTACATAGGCCTGAAAAAAATGCTTGGTGCCTCCAAACAATCAGGATCTACCTGAGGCATCCCGAAAAAAACGGACCCAGCAAATTCTGAGGCCAGGTAATGGACAGAAGTTATGGCAACTTTTCACATACGCGCAGACACGTGCTGCACACATATATGCATAATATAAATATAAATAAATACATATGCATATATGTATGTATACGTGTATGCATATAGCAATCAGAAACAGAGACAAAAAAAACAGCATATAATATGTAATCATCCGCTCGATTAAATAGAATATGGATTTTCAGAAAAATCACTGACATGGATTGACATGGACCATATTTGAACATCCTATTTGATATATTCTAAGATACTCCAGGAGGAATTTGTATCAATATCTCTCTTTCTATCTCCTTTTAAAAAACATCATATATAATCATATATATATATTTATGAATATATTTATGCATAATTAAATAATATATTTATTGATGTTGCATGTGTATCTATCTAACATACCTTTGAGGAGCAGCCGAGGCACACAACTTGTAGCGCGCGTCCTCGATCTCCAGTTCCGCCTCTGCTGCCGTGCGCAGCAAGGTGAACAAAGCCGCCTCGCGGGAGAGAGTCAAAGGAATGTATATAATGTAAAAAACATTATATATATATATGTATATTATATGTACTGTCTATTATTTGAGGATGTCTGTATGTTTTTCCATGATGTGTATGATGTGTGTAAATATATCTACATATATATTACATGTATATATATATATATGTACATATATATACATGTATATATATATATATACATACACATATTTGTGTGTGTACATAACGCATTTTAAAATAGCAACGGCTCCTGTCTCGGTGTTTCGCCTGCTGAAAATTCCAATGCCGCATCAACCAAGTTTCTACAGGTTGGGGCCCCAGTTGGTTCGCCAAGTTGCTTTATAAGTCCAATCAATGGGGGTGATTAGGGGGATGTAACGTAACTAGTTTTCGGGGATCATATGGGATTATATATATATATATATACCAACTCAGAATTGAGGGACGCTACCAGTGGTTGCACAGCTATTAATCAGCTATTCGAAGAGATTTTTGTCGATCAACCAGCTGAGATTTGCCCCGAGGCTCGGCAAGCCTTCTGATCCAAATCGATGAAGGGATCATCGATGGTCCTAGTGGTGATCGTGTTGGTCCCTTCCTGGGGCGATCCCATATATAACTAATATGTGACTAGGTACCCTCTATTACCCTCTGGTAAACTAACATAACTATATGGAAAATCACCAAATTTTGGCCATTTTCAATAGCTGTGTTAGTTTACCAGAGGGTAACCCCACAAAACTCTCGCGATTTTCAGTGGATTTCTTCACCCCAAGTAGTTGGTGGAACCGCAGAAATCTACGAAAAAGACATGTCAAACGGAAGGTCAGACCGGATCAATGCTTGAACTCCGACATTTTCCATCGGTTGGTACTGGATCTGGATCCTATCAGCACTTCTTTAGTAACATGTGGGGAAAAAAGATGAAAAAAACACATGTGGGACCACTATAGCTACCATCACCCCACTTTCCATAGATGATAGAAAGGAAAATGAACACAAACAAACACCCAGAACATGGGTTTCTCTGAAATAGGACAACAACACAAACAAACACCGAGAACATGGCTTTCTCTGAAATAGGACAACGACCCCTGAAACCTGAAACGCACCTTTCAAATGCCATGATGACACAAAGTGCGCCCCACACTGTAGGATGAAGCAAAAGGCTGCAGTCGTGGCGATTGCGGCTCCATGATGGTGAAAAAATGACTACATCCAGCTTGGAAGAACTAGTGAAAGCCCGACAAATAGATTGGAGTCCCTTCTGAATTTCATAGTGTTGGTCTACCATGGTCTACCTGTAGGCCTTCAACAAATTCCAAAAAATCAGAAAAAGACTGCAGGACAATTATTCCTCTTTCCCTCAGCTCGGCATTAGCCCACGAATTATCCACGTCGCAGCCGTCCATTTTTTTAATCGCGGATTCAGCGCAAATCACCTGCAGTGGCTGAGCCCATTCCCATCAACCAACCAGCCATATTGACCAACCAACCAGGGAGGTAGAAGAAGGGAACCATTACAGTACTTCAATTCTTCATGAAGCAAAATTCATCAAAAGTCCCAATTCAGAACAATAGTGTCGAGCTACTCGTCTTCCGAATGGTATAAAAAAGGGAACCGTTCGTTGAACCGAAAAAAACACCGTGCCCCGCGTCAAGAGATGTCAAGAGGTCCATGAAGCCGAGGCAGGAACCAAGAAATGTCAGAGGCAAATATATGAACCATGATTGATGTTTAATGAACAATATTGTTCAATGGTAAATATGGATAAATATGGATAAATATGGAATATTTTCTTATTTTTTCTGAGGTAACAAAATGAACAACAATCTTCCATAATGATTATTCCATATATCAATGATCAAAGGAGGAATCATTGCCGCAGGACAAGCCCAAATCCTGGCCGCAAACTTAGGTATAGCAAGCCCGAGTGGAAAAGATCGAAAAGGCTGAATTTGCCACTTGTTTAGTTGGACCTTACTTTTTTCGTACTTTTTTCCCACTTTTTTTCAATCTAGTTGAGGGTTGCTATTTCAAAATGTTTTTTTTGTTCTTGGGTTTGCCACCCCACTTAAAGAGTTCGTGCACAAAAACAAAAACTATACCAAAACTGTGACCGACTTCTGTACGTCGAGATTGTCCTGCGAACAAAACTGTGCTGCCTCATAACGGAGAGGAAACAGTAGACCCAGATGAATTATCAGCAACCAATACTAAACTTCTAAACAACTGTTTTCGACAAATGGTCATGTGCACATTCTGTGCATTGTTAAGCTCGAAATTTAGTGAAACATAGTGAAACACAAAGCCACACAGGAAGCCACACAGGCATCTTACGCGAAGCGAGGTCACCTTATTTATGGACATCACCATGGTTGTTTAACAACTCAACAGCCAGAACATCCCATATAACTATACGTATATAAAATATAACTATATATACGTATTATATATATATACCCTCTGGTAAAAAACCATGGAACATCACCATGCTATTAATGGGTAAATCATGGTAAATCCACTATTTCTATGGCCCAAACTGTAAACGTTGACCAGGCCGGGTAGATCCAGCGAGTTCACCATTCTCCACGTTCTTTGGCGCGCGAATGGCTTGCATGTAGCTCCAGGTGGTAAAGGCCACGATGTTTCCTGAAATCCACGGAAAAAGGAGATGCTCAAGATGGGAATCCTGCTAATTTCCACATAAGGGGTTGAATATAATTAAAGTAAATAAATAATGAATACGTAAATAAATAAATAAATGAATAATATATATGTATACATGAATGGCGGACAAAATTACTTGTTTATTTTCAAAACTGCACAAATTGGGGTCGTCCCCTATCGGTTGTGAGGATTTCTGCGTTCTCAGACTTTGAGGCGACTCATGCTAACCATAGAAACAAATCAGAATACATCCATGTACCCTCTGATTTATATAACGTCGCTATGGAAAATATTCATTTGTTAATAGGCAAATCATCAAAAATCATCCATACATCTGGGTAAATTATAATATTTCACTAACCTGAATCTTGCGGCCATTTGGGGATGATCCCCCTTAACCATGATTCCAGGATATTCCAGGGCTCGGTCGTAGTGAGGTCGTTATAATTTACCCAGATGGGAAATGTTCCATAGTCTATGTGGAATAACCAGAGAGTAGATCCGATCCGTGGGAGAATCTCCTGCAGTCGAAGTGCCACAGATTCCCAGGACCATCACATAGCTCCATTGGCCTCCTGGTAGGAGTTCCAGTCCCAAAAAGATTGACCTTGGCGCGGATATTTTCTTCGCAAATCAGATCCAAGAAACAAAAAAACCCTCTGGTAAACTAACAGTTTGCGAACTTGAACATGGTGATTTTCTGATGTTTTTTGTATGTTTACCAGAGGGTACATAAATCTCTAATTGATCCAAGAACAAAAATCAAAGACTTGGTACTTATTCATTCAGATGAAATATCACAGGGATAGCCTCCATGCAGTCCAAAGGACAAGGAAATGGTGGCGGCTTTGTTGAAGTTGCCCGCAAAGGCCGCATGGCTCGCCTGAGTTTCCAACATGGCCCTGGCATAGCTTGGAGACCTTGCAGATGATCCACCATGTTTAGCACTGATGTTCAGCTAAGTGTCGACATGGTCAATCTATGTCAATCTTTCGTTGTTAGCCCAGAAAAAAACATAGAAAACTCATATAATCCTTTGCCGGTTATGGTTATTTTTCATTTATAGCAAAAAACTAAAGGACTTAACTACCTATCCTGCGTTGGGGATGTCTATTGATGCCTAGCCGCACCCCCCGAACAAGACAGCGGATACAGCGGGATCTCTAAGACTCTACGCCGCGTACCCTTTACGGATGGGGCCGTTATCATTTTCCCGGATTTCCATCGTTTTCCCAAGGTTTCTCCTGATTTCAAGCGATACAAACATCTCCATCCCTCCATCCCAACAAAAACTGCTTGGTAAAATGAGGTATCCCGCAAATGATGGTTTCGAAGCAGAAAACCAGTTACAGTAGGTTCATCAAAAAAACACCAAATTTTGCATGATAAACTTCCCGTTTTTGGATCAGTGGGATCATCCCTGCCATATTTTTCCATCAACACCTCACGCGAAATGGCCCGAGTCGTGGCCCGAGTCATGGCCCATGTCATGGCCCATTTTCTCCGCCCCGTTGTTTCAACCAAATCCCACGGTCCCACGGTCCCACGGTCCCACGGGTCCCACGGGTCCCACGGGTCCCACGTCACCGACAAAGTCTGCACCACGGTGTACTGAATGAAGTTATATCCTGCTGAGACCACGCCCGAGAAAATCACCAAGAGAATGGTCCCTGGATTCAACTGATGAACTCGTTGATACACCTGGCCGACAGATTGGACAGATTCCCGCTATGCCATGAGCAGTTTCGCCCTTTGGCAAACTACAATGACTATCGAAGATCACCGTTTTGAATCGGAACATCATCTATGAATCTATGAAACTGCCATGCCATAGTACCATATGCTCCATGTATGGAATATTTACCAACATTTGCCTTCAAATTCACCCAGTTTTGTAGGTAAATATAGCATACATAGAGCATATGGGTATGTTGGTGGAGGGTAAACAGAAATGATCACAGCAATGGATGGCACGGGGTGGCCATCACCATCAACACATATGGCAGGTGCAACAGAAATTTCAGGCGGGGATTCGCAACGAACGTGACATCATGGAATGATACATCTGTCGACTCTCACACGTGTTTAAAAAAAACTGCACGCCTGTTGAACATATTACAATTATACATTATACCACACAATACCCTCTGGTAAATTAACATAGACCCTGGCAGATAGGGGTTGGAAGATTAGTTTCCATTAAAACTAGGCTATTTTCAGGGTCTATGTTAATTTACTGGAGGGTACCTATGATTTCCTCATGACTATCAAACAGATAATATGCACATGTGAAGCACGTGCATGTGCTACGAAGGTACATGAGTCATCATACGGGGATAAGTCACAAATTGCTAAGCCCAAGAGTTCAAACATCACCATTTTCATGGCGCGCTAGTTTTTTGGGTCAAAACCTATGAAATCCCAATAAATCCCATATATTGGGCGATGGACATCCATAAACCCAAGCATTTTACCCTCTGATTATGTCAACAGTTTGCTATTGAAAATGGCCCAGTCGAAATAGTGGATTTGCCCATTAAAAATGGTGATTTTCCCATTAAAAATGGTGATTTTCCCATTAAACATGGTGATTTTCCCATTAAACATGGTGATTTTCCCATTAAAAATGGTGATTTTCCATCGTTTTTTGTATGTTTACCAAAGGGTAATGTGAAAAAAATGGGTAAATCATCGGCCTCCCAATCCGTCAGTGTTCCAGCATTGGGCCAGTTGATGGGATGCGAGGCGTACAAAGACCTGGGATGTTTGTGACGACCATGGGGTTAACCTCTGGTAAACATACAAAAAACTATGGAAAATCACCATTTTTAATGGGAAAATCACCGTTTTTAATGGGAAAATCACCATTTTCAATAGGTAATTCCACTATAATCCACTATTTCTATGTTCATTTTCAATAGCTATTTTGACATAACCAGAGGGTATATTGATTTGTTACATCCCTAATTAACAATCTTTTTAAAAGTCGGAGGGCTTAAATATAAGGTGGTGCTCTCGGTCTCAACATGTTTCACCTGAAGCTGGGGAGGATTGGGGATGCAACTGGTTGGTGGTTGACCTACCCCTCTGAATATGAAAATCAAACGGGATTATTATCCCCAATATATGGAAAAAATATAAAATGTTCCAAACCACCAACCAGGCAAGTTCTGATCTTGATGTCATGATCTTCTTGGTCTGAGTTTGTTTGAAGTCCATACCCAGGCGAAACAAACTCAGATCACTCAAGGGACCTGAATTCCCTAGAATTTATCCACTAGTTTTAGATATTTCTCGGGCGGTCCAGTCAGGGGTCTGCTAAACCGAAACAGAAACCATCCCCAATATATCCCAATATCACCAGAAATGGGCCGTCTTGCGGTATCAACTAGTATAAACATGTATAAACCCTGCAATGTTTTAGGTTCATGGCATTGGATGGCATTGAATTATACTGGGTTTACTATGGTTTACTGCATGCGCAAAAAATGATCAACACGGCTCAGGGACGCAGGAAGGAGTGCCAGAGCGCAGGGTAAAGCTGTGTAGAAGACCCTCAGTGGCCGTACATGGCGTGCAAACATGTACCCTCTGGTAAACATACAAAAAACTACGGAAAATCACCATTCTCAATGGGTAAATCCACTATAACTAAATGGTCCATTTTCAATAGCTATGTTAAATTACCAGAGAGTACAAAACCAAAAAATTGGATCAGTGTTGATCAAACCTTTCTGATTGCTTTCACCAGTGCTGGGGGCTTGGGATCTCACGACTCCATCATTCTCCAGTAGAAACTCATCAAACTCACCAACCTAGAGGTTCCATGTTCAGTTTTATGGCACGCCTTGCCTTTTCGCGTTTTCCCACACACCTGAGGCTTCAACATTTCGAAGCGTCCAAAAAAAAAGCGTATGTCTGGAACATATGAGAAAATCTCGGGGAAAAACATGGAAAACACATAAATCTGGATAAATTATATATATTATAATAGTAGTTCGCTAACCTGAAATAAGGCTATTTTGAGATAGTTACCCCCTCCTCTAATCATCATTCCAGTGACGTCGCAGTGAGGTCGTTATATACTTTTTGTTTTTTATTTCTCCAGATAGATCCACCTGTTAAGCATCCATTTTTCCATTCAAATTCTTACTTTTGGATACTTTTTGGATGATTTTGCGCGTCCCAAAATTTCGGACCCATTTTCATCGTCACCCACTTTCGAAGCTCGGGATGATCCTCCACCGATGCAAGCGGCGTATCAAGGGGTGACAATGGCGGCTTCAATGTGGAGCTGAAGGCAGCTGCCAAGACCAGAGTGGTGGCTGCAGCAATGTCGCCCAAACAACACATCAGCACACCTGGCACCATTTGCGCCACAAGATTTCTTGATACCCTCTGGTAATGACTAACATAGCTATGGAAAATTGCCATTTATAGTGAGTTTTCCCATTGAAAAATGGTGATTTTCCATAGCTACGTTAGTTTACCAGAGGGTAGACCCGGGATCGATGATGGTAGATGGGATGTGGTAAACCCCAAATTTTTGGTTGATGGGATGGTTTAAGGCATGGCACAGATTATTTATGTAAGCAAATGGATGGATGAATAGATAGAAACTAATAATAAACCATATAATCTATAAACAATAGATAGAAACTATAATTATAGATAATATATTGTACAATTGTGGGTAAAACAATAATAAGCAATCCCCCAAATCAACATCATAAATAGGTGGTATATGGTCTTGCCATTCCCAGGAAGTCATGGGTGGTATACATGGCAGCCAGTTTTACCCACATTGGGTGGAGATTGATAGCTCCATGTCATCAAAGTGCCTGAAACTCAGTGACGCCAATTGGATGCTCATAAAGAGTCCACAATCATCTCCACACGTTTGATCTTCCCATCTGTCATTATCACAACTAATCGCATCTTTGGAAAATATAACATCATAACCATTTTATCCACGTTGCACATATTATTATATAACAATTATATATATATATATATGTGTACCTGCATATTTACATATCTATTCCTATATAATAACATTTTCCATGGATCTATCGTGAATCCCCAGCATCATGAATTTCGGTCTCACCATGAGAAATCGCCGGCGATTTCAAGGTGGACCATCCCTGAAAAAGGCTCAACAAAATGCAGTTTGCCTGTCATGAAACTGGGTTACTGGTTGGTGGTTGACCTACCCGTCTGAAAAACATGAAAAAACATGAAAGTCAGTTGGGATGATTATTCCCAATACAGTATATGGAAAAATAAAAAATGTTCCAAACCACCAACCAGGTTATAGTTCTAAGGGAAAAATTACATGAAACATCATGAAGCCCCTATATTTGATGGGGGAAACCAACACCGTTTCCGGTGAAGATTTTCCCTGAAAACCAATCCAGTGAAATCAATGATGTGGAGATTCTATGCCGCGAAAGAAATCCCGCTGTCTCATGAGAAAAACATGGCCCTTTACGCAGTTGTCTAAGAAATGGATTCCGATCATTAACTCACATCATCACCAGTCTCAATCATTCCCAATCATGAACCCCCACCTCCATTCTTAATCCATTACATGCCCATTATTTTCACATTAGAATCGATGTATCAATAAATAATAAAATACATGTTCTATATCCATATGATGTAAAATGATATCACAAAATATCCAATATCAAAACATAATCATTATATTCCCATATCAAAATCTGATATATCATCCATTACAAAAATATCTCTGGTAGTCCACAAAACACAAGCTATTGCCTGTTATGGTGATTCTCCATTTATTCACTAAAGGATTAAACTACCTGTCCCATATCAAACAATGTCTTCCCATTTGTTACTATATATACCCTATGTCCAAGCCCAACATCAATATCTATCAATATCTGACACGCATATCCACATAGAACAACACATGCCATGATATCTTAATATCAAAAACAGTCTTAAAAAAACATTATATGATATCATTCTATATTATATTCCCATTATATATCACATTAATATATATATATATATGTATGTATCCAATATATCCAATATATCAATGATACACAGCCTCCATGTCATTCCATGTCAAGCGGCCAATCCCCAAATGGCCCTGCTGCGTTTCCTCATTCTTCGTTTCACTCTCCGCCAGTGCCGTGATGGCGGCGCCGGCCACGCCCACTGACATCACCAAGGCCTCACCGGCTGGATTTTCCCATTAAAAGTTGTGATTTTCCCATAGAAAGTGGTGATTTTCCATAGCTATGTTAGTTTACCAGAGGGTATCAAGCCCTGTTTTTTTTTTTCCATCGAAAAAATCAGCATCAAACATTGAGATTTTTTGTCTCAAAGATTGGGATTTTATAGCATCAAACATTGGGATTGAACCAGTTTTAACCATCAAACATTGGGGGCTTAAGCATCAAGAATTAGGACTTAGTCATCAAAGCGCAGGAGTTGACATAGTTTCACAGTCAAAGCAAGGCGGATTTGGAATGTGACCAAATCATCCCAGTTCGCATGGATTGGAAGGATCATTGAGCTGGCACAATCAGCTTCGGTTACTGCTTGGTGGTGCAACGTGCCCATCTTGAAAAATGATGGAGTTCGTCAATGGGAAGGATTACATCCCATATATGAAATGGAAAATAAAAGCCATGTTCCCAACCACCAACCAGGTTAATAGCGACCCGTTCAAGACTCAGATCCTACCTTCATGAGAAAACGGTTGCGCCGTTTTCTAAGTTCCAGAATCCGCGCCAGGGAAAACTGAAAGAAAGTCTTCAACTGTGGTAATTATTCGTATTATAAGAGGAATAACATGTTCAACTCTGGTATTCAGAATTCCTCATAGGATGATAGATCATCATTACTATATAAATATATCTTAATATGATTGATCAAAAATACCTTGCGACAAGATGAAGTTGCAGCCCGTCACTTCATACCACCGAATTAGCCAAAACAATCCAAAACACAAGTGTTATTAAGTTGCATTCAAGTACCCAGCCAGCAGGTTTATCCACTTCATATGCCATTCATTTCCATCATTTCCTAACGACATACCCATTTAATATCATTTAATCATGGTTTCCCTGTGGTCAACTAAAATAGCTATGGAAAATAAACAAACATAGCCTAGCCCATTTATAGATGAGCTACTCTCCCCGGTGATTTTCCATAGCTATGTGGCTGCAGGGTATCTCCTCCGCCCAGCACTCCAAGGCACGTCCCAACAGGTGGCTGGGGTGGTGTCCAAAAGTTGTAAGCCTCGCGCCAGTTGCTGCAGAAGCAGTGTCACCTTGGTCGAGTAGCAGGGAAGATGGGGAAGATGGGGAAGGTTGTTGGACCTTCCTTCCCCATGGGATCCCCGAAAAATCACGAAAAATCCATGGGGAGGAAACGGGGGGTCCAAGTTTGGAGAAACCGCCCTGATTTCTGTTTTAAGTCCCGTTCTTCAGCATGGTCGGAGGAATTTTTGGAGGAGTTTCATTGTTTCATCCTGCAGCATTGAGGCCTGATGAGCTACACAATGACCAGGAGAATCCCATGAAATAGGTAATTAATGTCAACCCCGGATTAGTCACCCATGGTTTACTGATTAGGGGGGCACCCCCACAGATGATGATCATTGATCATCTGATACTTCAACGGTACCCCCTGGGCCCCGGATGGTGTATTGGGGTTGACACTATTGGCCAGAGTTATCCATAGTTAAAATATTAATCATCGTCCCAAGTAGAGGATGCATTTTGATATTTCCAAACCATAAAAGCAAGAAATGTTGACTATGCAAATGGAGGCAGGCCAATGGAATGCAGGAGCGAATCACCATATTCCTCAGCAGCCGAGTAATTTGAACTTTCATGGTCCACTTGGCCAGAAATTGCCGGGAAAATATGGGAAAATGATGGAGCATGTTTTCGTTGGAACCAACATGGCAGCGGGCAAGCACAATTTGATGGGAGGAAACAGCTTTGTCAGAATTAGCATGGCAGACATGGTGATAATTGTAACATATTGTAACCATAGTAATCCCATCGATATTAATCATAATGATATTTTCATGTTTGAGGATAATTATCAGCCAGAATTTAACCCATTTTTTGGAAAAACAACTCGAAATGATTCAACTGACACTTAAAATGGTGGATCAATGGGATGGCGATGGAACATCACCATACTCACCAGTGGGCACATTCAAAAATCCATCCACCACCCCCAAAAATCTAAAAACAGCTGGTCTGTTGTTTCAACCGCTGCTGACATCTCCCTTTTTTTAGGTCAGAAAATCGATCCGAACACCAAGATTCAGAGAGACAGGCAACAGTGACATACTGAAGTTGTTGAGGCCAATGTTCACTGCCACCTTGTTCAGGCATTGCATCCCATGGGAGCGGTGTCCACACGACTTAAAATGTGCAAATACGTCTGTACCATCAGCATTTGTAAATCGGCATGTCCGCAGCATCTATCACACCATGATGCGATATGATGATATGATGAAGGCCGTTTTCAGGTGGCTTCTTTGGAATCCCTATGTCTTGATCTTGATGTCATGGTGACTCGTGGTTGCCACCAGCTACCGAAAAAATGTTAGTGGGATCCGCAGCACCGAAAAAATCGGGCTTCCAGCTGATACTGTCCACTATGAACTGTCATCATTGCTGGGTAACATAATGTAACATATCAATGCTTGCAAGTTGTTCCTTATATTGTTTTTGGTTGATGTGTATATATATATATGGTTTTGATAATGTTTTGATGTGGGTTTGTCTGAAATGAATAAAGTGCGTCCAAATCCACTTTTTGAACATGTTATTTTCCCCTATATAAATTGCACTTCTGGTTGTTTTCCCCATGTTCAAACACACCCATATACATAATATCAATGTATCGTTATATATGATTATATATATGACCCTGGCGGAAAGCAACATATATAGATGTTGGAAAAACCCTATGTTTTCTACACCTGCTGCGTTTTCCACATTTTTTTTTAAACCTTTGGAGGGTGTCTCCCCATCCTGCGTTACCGCGCCAGGGTGCGGCCAAAGCAAAGAACAGCACCGCCAGGACTTCGTTGAGAGTCGTTAGTTTTCGAGGCACATAGGGATGAGGTGAAAAATGCAGCACCAACATCCTTGGGATTTTGTGAAAAGGGTGGTTTCAAGTGGGATCATGTTACAATATGTTACACTGAAAAAAACACCTATCAATTCAGCTTTTTTCTGACTGTTTATAATTGACTAAATGCGAATAACATATGTTATCTATATCTATCTCTCTCTCTCTCCCTATATCTATTTAGTTAAAATGCTAATACATAAATACGGGATCGTAGGGGAAACTAAACCCGAAAACAAGGTAGCAGTCACTGCGACTGGGACGTGTGCGTTCATCAGCAGCCAATGGAAACCATTTGGACTGCAAATTAAGGCTAGAATGAATCAATGATGAGCCAATGGGAAGAGGTACCCTCTGGTAAACTAACATAGCTATTGAAAATGGTGATTTATAGTGGATTTTCCCATTAAAAATGGTGATTTTCCATAGTTACGTTAGTTTACCAGAGGGTATGAATCCAAACGACCTCCTTCAAGTATCTACGTACACTCTACACTCCCAATTGGGATTTCTTTGGCACAATGACCATTGAAGAATGCCACCTGCATTGATCAAACAACTTCCCCTGACTGCCCCAAGGAAAAACATATGGCACAATTCCACTGGATTTTTGAACATTGATTTTCCGGCGAAAGCAATCCACCCTTAGCTGTCAACACTTTCTCCTGTCAGCTTCCCATGGTGTCATCGCGTGCGAGGCACCCCAGTCCCAAAGCACAGAAAGCCACGACTTGTTGGATGGCTGTGACCAGAAAAGCAGCAGGCATTCCCCTCAAATTCAGCTCTCCTTGGTGGTCTGAGGGTGGCTACGAAACATTCACCCAGTGACATGACAAAGAACTGACATTCAGAACGATAAACTGGTAAATCAATGCCACAAGGGGCTGAAATTACGGCAATTTCTGCTTCTCCATATATTATGCGTTTTACTCGCCTGGTATTTGGGGTGTAAAGCCGCGGCCGATTCTGCCAAAGGTCTGGAGATGGTTTCCTCTGACAGGACCAGCTTCATGTACAGAGCGAAGCCTCTGCAACTCGTCGTGTGGTTATGAGAAAGTCACTGGCAATTACCATGAAACATAGGAGTTTACAGGTGCAGAACTGCAAGGAACCCGCAAATTGAGGAGGACTTGCTTCAGTTGATTTTGGACTTCATCATTGAGTCGGAAATCTTACACTTTGCAAATCACCAGCCAGTGAAAAGCATCTGGGCATAAGTGGGTCAAAAATTCAGCCCATATGCTCCACATGTGAACTGACCATCTTTGGCATCAATAAACATCAATGTATAAACACATTTAGCCATACTAAGTAGCATTTGAGCATTTTATTAGGATGATAACTACCAAAAAATTGACCCATACCCATCTACATACCCTACAGCACATGAACAGAAATATGAATAGATATGGAACGTTTTCTTGAATCTTCTTGAGACTTTCCTAGGAAAACTGTGGTTTCCCATATGTTTTGTTGCTCAGTGGCGACAAACCTGCAGGTTTGGTGCCAAGGCGCTAGATTGCCCGGCAAAGTACACCGCCAGCATGCCTGCGGATGAAACGGGATGGTTGGTGAAACCACCCAGATGATGAACATTCACCGATCATCTCAGAAAACAAGTCAAATGTGTTTCTTAACAAAAAACACATTGAAGAAGAAACATTATATAAACAAGGTAATGCCGGCGTTGCTGGCCTCGTGTTTTTTGGGCCTGCAGCAGTTCAAGTCGTTAGTTTCTACTGATGCGGCGCATGACATCAGGCATTATATGGCATTATTTGCCAAAGGTTGTGGCGACTGTTGTAGCGCCACTGCCACTGGTAAATCCAATTCCACTTGCGCTTCCTCTCAAGAGACTGGTCTTTGTACTGATTTGCTTGGGAATGCAGTGAATTCATGTAAATTCTTTGCAGTGATCCAAGCATTTGTCCAACATCTGAGTCCCTGCTTTCAGGGTCTGACCATTGTGTCTTCTAACATTCCGTGAAAATTCCACGGAGCATGCTTCACTTGAAAGAATTCTATCTCTGCTTCTTGGGCATCCACTAGGGTAGCATGACGTCTCTGCGTCAAGTCCAAGAGAACACCCACTAGCGTAGCATGACGTTTCTGTGTCAAGTACAAGACAACTTTCAGTGGCATAGCATGCTGCAGGTAAGTACAATGGAACGTTGTTGCCCCACCCCACACACACACATATATATATATATATAGATATAAGATGTAAAGACACCGTTGTCCTCCATGCTAGCAACGCCGGCGTTAGCATAAACAGCCTTAAGAATAAATCAGAATTGAATCAACATGAATCAACATCTCAAATCAACGGGTGACAAAAAAATACTGAAAAAAATACGAAAAACTCTGCGGTCCCGAACATGATGCAAAATCTGGCCAGCATGTCCAAATCAACTTTCTTCGGTTTGTTGGGTCACCAGTTGGCATCCTGCTGGATCCCCATCTGGGTATGGATCAATACCTATTAATACCATTTTTAGTGGGATGAACATCCATTTACCAGCTATTTTGATGTTCACCAGGGGTACAAGGTTTTGACACACTGTCATCTCCCGGCCTAAGGTCTTGTGTCCCAAGGTGAAGGTGGCGACGCCCAACAGAAAGGCCACGCTTGGGATGAAGGCTTGATCCGCCCTTGGGGAAACACACCGGGGCTGGGGTGAATTTCTCCGGAAACGTTGGAAGATCAACCTGGAATCATTGGCTTTAAAATTCAGACCAAGAGCTTTCCCTAGCTTTCCCACTGAAAATTGTGTTTTTCATTTTTTAATTGTGCTTTTACACATCTTTTGCATCATGTGTATAACAATATATAAGCACTAGAAGCTTCAACGTGTTGGTTTTGGAAGTTTTAGACGAAACCTTGGTGCCTCCCATCAAGTAATATAAGTCATTGATAGTAATTGTAGGATATTTTTTAGGGGAATCCGGCGGAAAGCCAATTTTACTTCAGTCCCCTCCTGTGATTGTGTAATTGGGGGATCAACCTTATGACACATCCAATTTCACATACCAGGAAAAACGAATGAGACCCTCTGAAAAAATCACATGTGACACCCGAGAATCCCCCCGAACATGGATGTGTAAGTGGGAAAAACCATCGATAAATAGTGTTTTCCATTCCATGCTCTTTATCACTGGAGGGTAAAATTGTAAAATTGAAGTTCATACTGAAGTTTGATGTTCAAAATTGTGGTGACATGCATGGTCAAATGGTAACGCAAGCTCCAACAATGTTCATCCGTCCAATTATGGAGTCGGACCACGTCCAATCGACGATTTGCCGAGCGACAGCCGTGGTCGATACGGCTCATAGGCTACCGCCGACTTTTTCTTGGGCTTCGGTCGAATGATATTGGGATCCTCGCAGCTGGAATTCAAGTTGGAACCTTCCAACCCCCCGAAACACTTCTCTCATTGGCAGTGTCAAGCCATCTCAAAAACATGAAAATCATTTTCTGTTAATCATCCCAAATTTATTTTTCCTAACATTACATCAACAGCATCTAAACAATATAAACATGACATATGTAACATTGAACATCTGCAGCCACCCGTTGCGCATGTCGTTTAACGTGACCTGATCATCTGGCCCTACGAAGCCGATCTGAATCTGCAGGAGCCTCAGTGATTCCACTTTCACGACAACGGTCGGTCGACGACAGGACGGTATCCATGGCTTACCCGGCCTGGTAAACCTACAAAAAAACGATGGACAAATCCACCATTTTTAATGGTAAATCCACTATTTCTATGATTTTCTATGGCCATTGCTATGGAAAGATCCACCATTTTAATCCATTTTATAGCTGGGTAAATTTCAAGTATTTCGACTGGGCCATGGCTTCAATAGCTATTTTGCCATAACCAGAGGGTATGATCCCCAAAACAGCACCCCTGGAATAAGATAACCAACATCCCCTATCATGATATTGATAACCAAGCAGCGCTGTTTCAATGGCTCACTTGAGGATCATGGAATATTTCGGGTTTAGCCAACCCGCCATTCCAAGACTGGTTGCATCTCGTTGCTAAGAACAGGGCTCCCAGTTGACCGATGATCATCATATGCCAAGCACCAGGGGCTTTGAACACTGCTCACTCGACTATCTTCCTTTCTGGTGAACCCAAACAACAGAATCTAATCCAATGACCCAAATTGGATCCATTTGGATCCATTTGGGTGCATATCATTGGGTATACCCTCCGGTAAACTAACATAGCCATTGAACATGGCCATAAAAATAGTGGATTTACCCATTAAAAAAAAGTGGATTTGTCCATCGTTTTTTGTACGTTTACCAGGCCGGGTACCCCAAAAAAGGGTGACCATTTTTCTGTTTCTGTTAATTGTTTATCACAAAGCATTGGGCCACAAAAAAAAATCACCCGAATTCACCGAGCCTGAGATGGTTGGTTGACCTACTGAAAAATGATGGAGTGAAAGTCAGTTGGGATGATTATTCCATTCCCAATATGATGGGAAAGTCATAAAACATGTTCCAAACCACCAACCAGTCATTTTCTCTTTGACATTTTTTTCTAGAGATGGGATGGGGATCTCAAACTTGGGTATCCAAGAAAAGTTGGTCACTCTACATGACCAACTTTGGTGATTCCAGGTGATTCCCAAGACTATCTGCAGGGCAAGTTGCTGGAGTCGTTGGATTTCCAGCTCTTCTATGGGATTGTCCCAGGCCAACTCACCTGCGCTTGGAAAAAATTGTGCAGCCTCAATGACCCCCAAAATGGCCTCAATGACCACCCGGAAATTTGGGGGGGCCTATTTTGGTGGGGGGGCATGTCTTGTGACCCGGGGAACGGGATTAGCATGGATTTGAAACTGTTTAAAGGTTTGAACGGAATTTCATGGTTTCAGTGCTCCCTGAAATGGGCTCAGCCAATCTAAAATCGATCTTCAATTTCAGCGATGCTACAATGACTTCTTTTCCACTGTAGATTGACTCTGTATCTACTCTTGCCATGTTTAGAGAGTTGCATTGCAACTTTCACATGCTTTCACTACTGGGATCATCCCACTTAGTAAGTCGTTAGTGAGATGATCCTCGCTCGCTCCACCATGTCCACCTGGCCTTGGCTGCACCACAGCAAACAGCCGATGGCCAGCCTGACAGTGGTGTAAGATGGAAGGCAGGTGGTGCCAAGGGGGATGAAGATCGGCAAATTCAACCAGCCAACATGGGAATGATATCAATGGGGATCTATTTAGCTAAGTCTGTTTTCTACACATCTCCAGGAACAGTCGGGTCTGTGGAAAAAAAAACTCGAGCTAGTTATATGAGGGTAGGGAACATAAACCAACCAACAGAACCTTTGGGGGCACCAACTTGTACAGTAAGTATATTATCAAAGTTGATGGGATGGGCAAACCCCAACAACAAGACCACAAGTAACGTGTCAATTCGCCATAAACTCATTCGGGGCTTCCCTGTTTCCATACCTGTCCTCCATCGCCATCCCGAAGGTCCGTCTATGGCTGAACATTCTTTGACTGAGACATACTTAGACCATTTTGTCTAAGCGTTTCGTCTCAAACATTGCAGGACAGTAAGACGCGCACTTACAATATTTTGCCGGATATGTATATGTATAATATTTACTATTATTTATTATTATTGTTAATGTTATTGTTAGGTTTATCATTAATTATATGTATACACATAGTATTTCCATACCTTTCCACTGATTTTGCTGCTTTCCGGGCCTCAAAAACGACATCTCAAATGGATTGACTTCGCCACAATGGCGTCGTTCGGTGGCTTCCGGTTCGGTGAAGCATGGGCCCCGGTGGGACTTCAGGGCCCTTTCGCGGATTCGCTACACTGAAGCCAAACGTTGCACATTTTGAATGAGAAAGTGAAGAGTCATGTATGTTTTTATGTTTTGTTTAACATGATTTTGAATGATAGACCGATGATCAAATGTAGAATATTGTAGAATATTGCTATAGGTTGCTTAATTTTAATGACAATTTATCAAACATATATTTCTGGGATGTGCCTCTCTGATTTTTCAGCGTACAGGGTTGGCATTGTTGCCGTTAGTAGCTTGCCATCAGTGGGCCACTCTTTCTGCTCACTTGCGAAGTCTAAGTATCAACTCATAAGTTCTCCTCATTGCAACTTACAAAATGTCCAACATAAGAAAATACATGAAATAACAATGTAGCAATCATTATGCATAGTACTTCGCTTACTCAGCATAGAGAACATTTCACATGTTCATACATTTTCCCCAGATTCACCCCAAACTGGCTCCACATTTTCCCTTTTTTTTTCAGCTTTCGGCTCTTTCCACAAGTTGTCTTCGGATCGTTCCCTGACCCAGCAATTCCAGGCTCAAGCCCAACCGACGCCGCTCTCCGCGTCGCTGGCGCGGGCGACACCGCGCCCCAGTGGCGGTCGCCCGCTGCCAGGCCGTGGAGCGCGCGGAGGAGCGACGACCCCCCCAGGGCCGCTGCCAGGTGGTTTCGTTGGTGGCGCGGTTCCAGTAGTAGACTTCACCATCCTGAGAGGAATGGACTTATAATACTTATATTGGCTTATGCCTGGTATATCCTTAGATTGGAAAAAATGATCTGTTTCTAAAAAACTAGGTTTTTGGGAAACGGATTGCCGTTCGGATCTGTTTTTGTATTTTTTTGTGGTATACTATTTCCAATCTCAGGTACATAGATGATTTCAACATAGGTTAAAATCTTCAAGGAGTTTTTTCGAGGAAAAACAAAAGAAAGTTAAAATAAAAAAACACAGAGCGCAAAAAAAACGCAAAATTACGGGAAAAAAAAAACGTTCGGATCAGAAATTACCGTTCAAACCCAATTGCGTAAAAAAAAGGTTCGCGTTCAAGACTTGAAGAGCATTCAAAATGCGTTCAAAACCATTCGAAATTACGTAACATTTTACGTAAAACGAAAGGATTTTTCAAGATCTGAAATGGCATGATTATCATGATTTCGTGTTTTTACAAGGAAAAGCATTACGGGGCGTAAAAAAGCGTTCGGATTGGAAAAAACCGTTCCAGAGCAGTTTTTCTTCAAAATGGTAAACAACCAAGTTGTTTTGAAAACGGTTTGGAAAAAAACAATCCAGAGGGTTACCAGGTGGTTTAATGGAGATTCTCCAAGATTTTGAGATAACCAAGCAAAAAAGATGTGGGATGGATTTGGAGAAATTTGCAACTATGAACCTTGGGGTAGTTACCCGGGTAGTTACGCGGCAATTTTGAAGATCAAAATGGTGATGTGCAAGATGTGCAAGTAGTTTCATGTAGTTTCCTGAACAAGTTGTTTTGAAAACGGTTTGGAAAAAAACAATCCAGAGGGTTACCAGGTGGTTTAATGGAGATTCTCCAAGATTTTGAGATAACCAAGCAAAAAAGATGTGGGATGGATTTGGAGAAATTTGCAACTATGAACCTTGGGGTAGTTACCCGGGTAGTTACGCGGCAATTTTGAAGATCAAAATGGTGATGTGCAAGATGTGCAAGTAGTTTCATGTAGTTTCCTGAATCCGAGATGAAAATCAGATTTTGACGTGTTTGACAAAATAACTTCTAGTGCTTATGCTAATTCAAGGTTTGGAAACTTTTGCGGGCAACACCTCGCAGAAACAAGCATTAACCACATGGAGCAACAACAAATACACATCATCAACAATCACTAAAAGAAGATTTTAGCACATTCCAGCTGTTATGATAGTTAAATATATATATATAGTTACAAGGTGGTGCCCCCAAGATAGCTAAGTTGGTTTATAACTCCAATAACTATGGTTTATAGGTGATATATCTATAGTTAATGGGCTTATAAATCAACTTATAACTGGGGGGCACCACCTTGTATATAATGTTATATAATATATAAATATATATATATATTATATATTATTAATATATATATATATATATGTTATTCCAATATTTCCACCATTTTCCACCCACCCATCCAATCCAAGTCTCCAAGGTCCTCCCTTGTCTCGTTGGATCCAAGGCATCCACCGCCGTCCACTCCGTGGCCCGCGGCGCCCTTCGTTGGATCCGCGGGGCGACGCCGGCGTTGTGGCGCCGGGGGAAGCGCCGCGGCGCCAGGCGCAGCAGGCGCACGAGGTTCGTGGCGTCGTCCCCGGTGGGGAGATGACCTGCCGGGTCCTCCACCTGGGCGAAAGGTTGGGAAAACTGAGGAAACCACCGAAAAAACGGGGAAGATCTGGAATCTGGTTTTTTTTGGGGGGAAAAACTGAGGTCTGGGATACTGGAAAAATGATTGAAGATGGATGGGTTTGAGTGGCTTTTGTGAATTCAGTTTTGCTTCGTTTGACATGGATCAATCTGGGCAAATCGATGGGGATATTAATTAATGATGGTTGTGTGGTACCTCCATTTGGAGAAGCACACCAAGTAGCGGTTGACTATGATCATAATAAGGCTGGTTAACAATGATTCTTCCCATATTTTTCCATATTTTCCTATATTTGATTGATTGAACACTCCGTTCACAGGGAGAATTTGAATGAGGCTTGGGATGATAGAATCAGCTGAGGATGGGGATGGGGCTCTGTGAGGATGGGCACTGTGATTGCCATGGCTGGGGTGCTTTTGAGTTGGCAGAAGAGCCGTCTATAATTGGTTATAAAATAAATTGTTGTTTACATTGTAAATATATAATCATTAAAAAACAATAATATACAATAACTATGGTCGATTATATAGAGCCGTTTATAATTGTAGATGATTGTAAATGTGCAATTTTAGAGTTTTAGCAAATCACATCACTACCCGTTGGCAAGCCCCCAAATTCATCGAGCGCTTCATAGGGTGCAAGGTGATACTTGGAACTTGTCATAATTTGACTGTTTGGTGATCCTTAAAAGGTGGGTAAGTAAGGGGCAAATTTGATCGGAAAACTTGGGAGGGTGTAAAGCAATATGAAGCGAAATGCAACATCATGTCATTGGATACAGCAATTCAGATACGTGAGCAACAAGTCTCAGTGTGGATTACTCACACTTTGAATTTGTCACACTTTATCCAAGCTTAGGCCAAACCAAATCCTAAGTTCCTTTTAGCAAACCCTCTTGGAGACGTTCAACACTTTGTTGCTCACATCCCCAAGAAAGTGGACCGTACCCTTTGAATCTTAAAACTGCTTTTCCTCCCGGGGATCGGGCATGTCCACTTCCACGATGAAAAGCAAACTGAGAAATTGTTCCATCCATATAACCTTCAGCCGTACAAGATCTACAAGAAACACAACTTCCATCTGGTCCATCTTCCGATCTTCCGAAATTTGGCTATGGATCAATACCTATACATACCATTTTTAGGGGAATGAACATCCATTTACCAGCTATTTTGATGTTCACCAGGGGTACAAGGTCTTGACACACTGCCATTTCTCCATCTCAAACGACCCATATCGTGCCACCGCCACCGATCACCAAGCTGCAGCCGTGAACAAATCCTCAAAGGAGACCTGGTGGCCATTCGCCAAACTGATCGCCACATCTGAGAGATCCAGCGCCACATCGTTCTTGAAGGGTGCCGAGCTCGCCGAGCTGACCCTCAAGGACCTGGAAACGTTGCAACTTCACGGCCAAAAATATGGAGTTTCCTAATGGTCCTAATGAAGAAATGGGATATTAGATGACATTTGATAGTAAACCATATTAAACCCACTCACTCAATTATTCATGTTATGACCCCATGTTAGCCATGCTTTGTTTCACACATCCAAACCACCGGACGCTTTAAGGTGAGGCCCTGCAGTTGCGTAGTTAAAAGCTCCGAAATATACAGCCAATGACCTGATGAATACCATACCCATAGTATCCATGTATGGTATATATGCTAACATTTGGGGTATATTCATGGCAAATGTTACCATATATACTATACATGGATCCTATGGGATAGAAAAGACAGTCCCCCATGTTCAAAAAACAAAAAAGTTCACCAAAATAGAGAAGCGTCAACTTTGTTTAAAAAAAACAGCCCAACTAACTGTAGTTATGTCCAAATCGGCTTTAACTATCTGTCCCATTCGACTATATCGATGTGGCAACCCACTAGTAAACTATCCCTATTATCACCATTTTTTATGGGTTGTATAAACCATCCCCATTCATGGTACGTTTATGCCATTGTTTACAACATTAAACCATGTCTTAAACCGCGGTACGCAGTGGTAAACCGACATAGCGACGGAAAATCACCATTCTTCATAGGTACATAATCTATAACTGTCCATTTTCAATAGCAAACTGTTAGTCATTACCAGAGAGTATATCCCCCAAATCCCATATCACCACCCTGAAATTCCCATAAAACCTCATAGAATCCCTGAAATGGATGGTTAATGGTGGTGAATGGATGTTAATGATAGTTCCCAATGGTGGTGCCAAACCTAAAAACTCTATGAAACCATATCAAGCCACAGTAAATGCCATATCATCAGATTATAAGCACCACAATTTCCCATAAAACCATAAAATAAACACATAGGATCACCATAATTTCCCATAAAACCATAAAATAAACACATAGGATCACCATAATTTCCCATAAAACCATTTAAAAAACATAGGATCGGATCACCATAATTTCCCATAAAACCTTTAAAAAACACATAGGATCACCATAATTTCCCATAAAACCATTAAAAAACACATAGGATCACCATAATTTCCCATAAAACAATTAAACAAACATAGGATCACCATAATTTCCCATAAAACCATTAAAAAAAACACATAGGATCATCATAAATTCCCATAAAACCATTAAAAAAAAACACATAGGATCACCATAATTTCCATGAACTTCCCTTCCAAAAGCCCATAGGATGGCCTTCCATCAGCTCCCTCGAGCTGCAGCTTCAGCCGCAGGCATTCCACCCGCCGTAGCCAGCCACCAGGCGCTACAGAGCGGCTGAAGACGTCGTCCAGGGCACCAAAGGATAGGATCAAACTGGGCCTGCGGAAGCTAAAGGTTGTAGGTGGCCTATAATATATATATATATATAATATATAATATAAATATGTTATATGACATCATGATATATATATATATATATGCAATGTCACAGGTGGGAAAATCATATATGTAATTCATGCAGATTAATGCGTATAGTTCTTGTTTTATGTGGTTAATTATGGAACGAATAGTGGGATTGAAGTAGTTCTCCTCTAGTGTCATCAAAGGTGGTAGTTCGATATTTTTCCCAGCTCGCCCCCATTTAGTTCGGGGATTCTCCAGCCACGTTTGATTACCAGAGGCTATCTCAATCTTCACCCACCCCCAAAAATCAAGCAATTTTTGGTTGGCAAAAATTCAGGAATTGAGTTTGTTGCCTCCCCAAACTCACTTTAACACGGGATAATCGCAGTTGTTTGAAGGAGACGCACTATTTGATCATCTGGGCTTAGCGTCCAACATAAACTGGTGGGTCACACATGGAAAAGGCATGCCGGAGGCAGCTTGTGATCATTTTTCATGATTTTCAGCAGCTATTCCCATACCACATCCCTTATTGATATTCCATTTCTATTGGTGAAATTCCCAATGTACATGCCACCAGGGGCATCGGTTGGGTTTATCACTTTTCTTTGTCACACTCTGGTCAGTTCTCACGACACACTTGGATGTCCCAGGTTTTCCTGAGCCAAACTGTTCACAGCCAATACCCCAACAAGCGTTGCTGATATTCCCTGTAGTATTGAACGAACTATGACTGGATTGGAAAAAAGGGCATATCATATCTCATTGTTTCCGACAGGTGTTCTCTACCCCTCTGGTAGCTTGTGACATCTGGAAACCACGGCCCATTTAGTTCGATGCTTTTCCAGTTCGCAAACTGTCAAATTGAGGCTAGACCTACCATTAAATCCAATGAAATCCCATTGAATCCTTTTAAATCCATCCCACAAAGTCACTAAGTCCCATTAAATCCCATGTAATCCCATGTAATTCCCCATTTATTGATGGATATTGTCCCATGAAATCCCGTGTAATTCCCCATTTATTGATGGTCAAACCACATGTTTGACGTTCAGTGCCGACCCAAGGGGCTGCCATTGCTGTAAGACACTAGGCACTTCTCGGCTTTCCCATCGGAGCTCAGGAATCAGCAAACGACCTGCAGGAACAAGAGGGATTGACATGACGTGACCAAAACAACCAGCAAGAAAAAAATTAGGAAAACAACCAGGAAATCAAAATTAGGAAAACAACCAGGAAATCAATAGGAAATCCATGGAAATCAGGTAGTCTCCAAGTCCTGGGGCCTTCTTGGTCCTTGGCGGGCTCCAATAACTCCGGCGTCACAGGGGCGACAGTGCCTGGCGACGACCACTCGGCCCATGGGATATGTTGGGATGTTGGGTGGCAGAACTAACCAATTCATGGTAATATCATGGCAATATCATGGTAAATCATGGTAATTCATGGAGCTCATGGGATTTTCATCTTAATGGATTTTAATCTTATGGGATTTTCATGGATTTTAGGGGGCTTCATGTGTTTTTATGGGCTTTACACCAAATATGGTAGTTCAACAGTCGGATTTTATGGGAGTGGGATGGAGTGGGATTTTATTGCAATTAATTATAAGCCAAACGACTATTATCTATGGTATGTAGATATATGTCCATAGTCTATAGTCTATACTCGTCTATAGTTAATTAGTGGGATTTATAAACCAACTTTATGCTGTACCCTGGGGTAAACGTTTACATAGATATGGAAACAACACAGTGTCTTGTTTGGAAAATGATCTACAAATGGTAGGTTTTCCAGTTTTCAGGAGGGTACATCCTTCTGTTTTGGGTAAAACTGCTGAGAAGAGGGGTTTGTCTGAAAATGAGAGGGGAAATGGCCAAGCTTGATGGTTCAATACCTAATTTCCCCACTGTTTGCCGTTGAGAGGGAGGACGTATGCCGCATCTTCAGACAAACCCAAATATCATCAACAAATGTCTGGTTGCTGGTTGAGAAAAAAACCATCTGAACATATGAGTCATTAGAGACCATCATCTGGTGCAAAGAAATGGAGATGGTGAAATTAACATCAAGCGGATATAAATAATTAATATGATGTAACCATGTTATACAATCAACATCAATCAACAATGGTTTAGGTAGGGGAGGCGATTATAAATATTCCGGGTTTTGTTGTGTTCGAACCATCATGAACCATCCGAAAACTCTTGCACACTTGGGATGAGGAGACCAGTTTGATGGGTCAGGGCATAACCATGAGACCTGGTGGATATTTGGTCCTGTTTTGGGGGGCATCTAACTTCTGTCTCCGGAGTTGTGGCACCCATCATCAACCAACCAGTGAGACAACGGACGTCTTGCTGGGAATTATTCACCCGGCTGTGATGAAAAACCAAATCGCCCGCAACAAACCGTAGTAGTGTTCTATACTATCGGCCAAGCCGCCAAAATGTCAAATTTCCACATGGAGAAATTGCATAAATTAAATCCATAACAAATTGGGAGAATTACAAGGTGGCGCCCCCAAGTTAAGAAAAACAAACCCATTAACTGGGCCGGTATATCTACCATAAAATCCGATAGTTCTACTATGTTCTACTTAGCTAATATCCTGGGGCCCCACTGGCTCCAAACTCCTCCAAATCCCATTTTGTTGCTGAACAACACCATTCTTCATGGCTATGCTACCAGAAATCCTGCAGATTCACAATCGAAAATCAAGCCTCAGCTAGAATTATGTTTCACTATGTTTCCCAACTTTGTTAAACCACGTGTTGTTGTGCCATAAGTCTACCACTTTCGGTGGTTACCGTAACCCCTCAAAAATATGGGGAGAACATCGTCGAACTACCTTCCTGGTTTCACAGTTTCACGCATCCATTTTCATGGTTCATGGGTCCCACTCATGTGGCAAACCTTAAATTTCATAGATCCCGAAAATCACCATGTTTATGGGTTGTATAAGCCATCCCCATTCATGGCAGGTTTATGGCACAGGGTTTGCCACATTGGTTGGTAACCATGGTTAAAAACCAAAGTTGGTAGCTGCTTATCATCATACACATGTATATGTATATATATATAATGATATAATGTTCGTAAAACAATAGTAAACCATCCCCAAATTTACCATAAGTGGGTGGTATAAACCATCAAAACATGGTTTATTAAATCATTTCTTTGCTAGCAGCTAACATTATATACTAATTATATTTCATCACTGTATTACTGATCATCAATAATGGGTCCACCACATTCAGCCAATCAAATGAACCATCAACATTACCAATGGGTTGTTGGGTCTATCACAATCTCAAAACCCGGTAATTATAGTTAATATCATGGTTAACTAGTTATATCATGGTTATGGTAACTATATAGTCATATCCCTTATGAACCCTACAATTTAGCATAGTTAACCAAGTGAACTGCGAGTCAAATTTTCTTGAGTTCGTAAGGCCGGGAAAGCCTCACCTTGTACATCATGGTTTCAATAGCTACCTGAAAAAATACCAGCGGGGTAAAACTATAGTCAGTTATATGTATGTATATTTCTCTCTTACACATATTTATCTTTATATATATATATACACGATATTACACACATAAAAAAAACACACACACACACATATATATATATATATGTATATATATATATATATACATATATATATATATATATCACCATTTTTGAAAATGTTTGATGCTTCAGCCATCCAAAGTCCCCTTCATCCGCCTCCAGCACGCCAGGTTGCCAACATCGCCACCAGACTCAGTCGCGCCGCTGACAACTCTGAGCCCGTGGGCATGTCGCCACTGGACCAGCGCCAGGGGCGCCGCCTTCTTGGGGAATGGTTGTTTCAGGGGAAACATGAGGATTTCACCACTAAAAAGAGGGATACCATAGGTGCTTGAACTGGGTTTAACGGTCATAACATCTGATGACTGACTTCAAACATGTTCTTTTCCAAACTATCCTTGAAAGGTGGGTTTAAACATGAATTGGATTGATTTGGAACATTTGGAACTTCAAAGTCGCTCCAAGGCTCGGCGAATAGACGGGCAGCAACACCACGGAGCCGTTTAGACTCCCATGCCTGGCCGTTACATGGCAAGATCATGGCATTTAATATGGTAATATGGTATGCCACGGTAATATGGTACCATATTTAATATGGTAAGGCCTATGTAAGGCCTATGTAAGGAAATATCCCCACAAAATATGGCTTTATATGGTGCAGCACCTCCATTTTAGGATCCTGGAATTCCCATTGATAATATGATCATGGTATTTAATGGCTATGGTAAAACATGGTGGTATTTAATATATTTCATATGGTATATGACTAACAGAATTCACTACCCTCTGGTTATGACTAACAGGGCTAGCCATGGTGTAGCCATGGCCCATAGAAAGTTCGATGGTTTACCTAGCTATAAAATGGTGGATCTTTCCATGGCGAAATGTAAAATAACCAGATGGTAACTCAATGTAAAGTATAATGAAGTGGAATGATCATTCAATAAACCATCGACGGTGCAGGATTTACACCATCCACACTACGTCCATCCAGTGACCTATTACTTATCTTTACTCGGGGGTACCCTTCTATGAAAATCAACTTACCAGTGGTTGATACTGTTTCTAGGATGAGTTCACTGGGGGAAAATTGAAGCCTATGATTCGCCAATCTCCATGTTTGCGAAACAACCAACAACTGCTTGGTGGTTGACCTACCCCCACCCCTCTGAAAAATCATGGAGTGAAAGTCAGTTGGGATGATTTTTCCATTCCAAATATGATGGGAAAGTCATGAAATTCCATGGTTCCAGTCACCACCAACCAGTGATTATTAACCATTATTAACCATTACGAACCATTATTAACCATCATTAACCATCATTAACCATGGGAAATTCATGTTCCAGTCACCACCAACCAGACAAAATGTGGTTCCAGTTTCAATCTCAACCAACTAAAATTTCTGAGGGTTCAACCTCATGATGCAGCACACCCAGCCACAATAACACAGCAGCCATATCCATTCTGAAACATTTTTTCAACAAGAACAGTAGCACCCACACATGTATATATATATATATCTATCTATATATATATATATCTATCTATCTATATATATATATCTATATATATATATATATCATGAATTAAACATGATACATGCATATAAATATGCTGGGCCTTCAAACTCACCTGAAATTTCTGTGCGATTCAAGTAGCATCAATTGCGTTAGTCCGAAAACGTACTTGGGCTATGGCGGGTTCCACTTGACTATGTTCCATCTGAGGGTGGTGCCCGAGAAATGTGCTACAAATGAGGGTCCTGGTAATTACATGGATAGTTTTCATAAAATACCCAGAAAATCCCAATGACTGATTTCATTCTTTGGTTATATAATTGTGGCTTATCACTAACTGGTGAGTAATAATTATGAGTCATGACTTTCAGGGGATAGCGCAATGGCAATATCCATAACTGGTTGTTTTTCATCAATCCCAAGAATTTTCCCCGTCATCTCAACCCATTTCTTCCCTTTTTGTATGGTTGAAAAGCAATAGACCCTTGAACAAACACAACCAACCATACCAATTTACAATAATCCACCAAAATATTGGCAAGTATATAATCCCCGAACCAATCATCAACAAACCGGGGATTCTAACACATAACATTCCCACTTATGAATGACATGTAGTAGATATTATTTGAGTTTCAGGGATAACAAACTGACTTACATGGTCATGGTCAATTTTTGGTAGCCCACCAAAAATCAATCCTTTTTGCGGTTATTGTCCACATGTAGCAAAAAACTAAAGGATGAAAGTGCCTATCCAAATCTATCCAAGTTGGGGATAACATGATAACATTGTGTAACAATGAACCCCGGCTGAGATACCAATTGACAATAATCCCCAAATATCGCCAATATCTCTCAAGATATTGGCTGGTGTCATGAAAAATCACCAAACTTGCCCTCTGGTAATTTAATATAGCTATTGAAAATAACTATTTTTTATGGGAAAATCCACGAACTAAATGATCATTTTCAATAATTAGCTATGTTAGTCATAACCAGAGGGTATCACCATTCATCAACCAACCGGGGGTTGGATAACACGTTAAGGGAGCCCCGGAGAAATCGCGTGGCACGTCACAGGCAGATCTGCTTGCGCCCCGCAGCACGTCCACTCAGCAGATACGACGCCAGGCGTCCCGAGAACTGAGCAAGGAAGCCATCTGAAGGCACGCGCAAGGCTTCAAGGAGGGCCATGGCTAACGAGGCTAAAAGATGGCAATCGTTAAACATGGTTTAGCCATGTTTAGCCTGGTAAACCTACAAACAACTATGGAAAATCATGGAAAATCACCATTTATAATAGGTAAATCGACTATAAATTATGAATGATCATGTTTAATAGCTACAGTATGTTAAATTACCAGGGTGGCTCACGTGATTTGATCAGCAAAATGTTGTGGGTTTTGCCATGGCAGATTCACTAGGAAATTTGAAATCCCAGCCATGTTTTTGTGGTTCCCCATGTTTCTGTAGTTTCAATACGCCACACCACTTCCAGTACATATTTTTCCAACTAATCAGTGTGTAATTCATATTCATCACTGCTTATTGCGGTCGGATGTCTGGGCGTGTCCCGTTACTGCCAAATTCATTGACCGCAACAAAACCTCTCCCGAGCTGCGATTATATAAATCATCCAGTCCGTCATCAACGGATTGACGGGACAATGGCAGGTTATCCGTCAGTTCTTGCCAACAAATATCAACAAATGAAAGGTTCATTGTGTAGATCTTCCCTTTGAATCAAATTGTTGAGATTGAAGCAACCTACATGACGATAGTTGAGGCACAGTTGACCTGGTTAACATTGGTGGATTCTATGTGTTATAAAGGATATGACTATACTTCATGGGGTTTATAAACCAACATATTCATGACTGGTTTCAGCAAACTTTGACCGCTTTTCGAACCCAACGGCCCAGGCATCTGGACATGTTTTGGGGCGAAACACCCTAGGAATCCTGAGTTTTTTTGGTACCAATGTCATCGCAAATTGGTGTTGATGGTTTGTAATTTTGAGAGCGTCCACCCAAAAAAAAAACATGATTGCAACCTGGTTGAATCTAGGAGCACGGCCTTTAATTAGATGGCCGTGTTTTTTTTATTAGTGGGATGTTGCTGATCATGTTTGATGTTGTCGTGCCAAACAGAATTTGGGCGAGTTTATTCTTAAGGTCGTTAATCTCTTTTTCACAAGCAGTAGAACGAAAACAGTCATTTGGCCTACACGACACTACCATTTTTTGGTTTTCGAACCAACCTGAAATTAATTCGTCGTCGCATGTTTTTAGCCGTCTTTTGGTCAGAGCAGCGCCTCCAGTTCTTCCAAGAACCTTTGAGGATCTGGACTCTGTAAGCTTCAACGCCAGAACCACATGAACGCATATTGTGTCACGGACGGGTGCGTAGCATGACCCATGAGTGCAAAATTCAAGAGAACATACAGTAGCGTAGCATGACCCATGAGTGCAAAGTTCAAGAGAACATACGATAAGGTAGCAAAACGCATGAGTGGAAAGTTCAAGAGAACATACCGAGCGTAGCATGACCCATGAGTCAAAGTTCAAGAGAACATACGATAGTGTAGCATGACGCATGAGTGCAAAATTCAAGAGAACATACGATAGCGTAGCATGACCCATGAGTGGAAAGTTCAAGAGAACATACCGAGTGTAGCATGACCCATGAGTCAAAGTTCAAGAGAACATACGATAGCGTAGCATGACGCATGAGTGCAAAGTTCACAGGAACATTCGATAGCGTAGCATGACCCATGAGTGCAAAGTTCAAGAGAACATTCGATAGGGTAGCATGACGCGTGAGTGCAAAATTCAAGAAAACAAACAGCAGCGTAGCATGACAATGAGTGGAGGGTAGCATGACCCATGAGTGCAAAGTTCAAGAGAACATACAGTAGCGTAGCATGACGCATGAATGCAAAGTTCAAGAGAACAAACAATAGCATAGCATGAGGCATGAGTGCAAAGTGCAAGAGAACATACAGTAGCGTAGCATGACCCATGAGTGCAAAGTTCAACAGAAGATACAGTACCATAACATGACCATGAGTGCAAAGCTCAAGAGAACATAGTAGCGTAGCATGACCTATGAAAGAGAGAGCCATGCACGTTATTATCCATGCACCTGCCGGCAGCCAAAGCGTAATATGTACTTCATCTGCAAGTACACATGAACGCTAATACATCAACAAAACACCACGGCCGTCTAAAGGCCGTGGTCCAACTAAATGAATCAGAGAAACCTTCCTGATCTTCCAAATTATTGTGTGGTAGAAAATCCGACTGGTGATCTCTGACTTTTGGGAAAAATGATCCAAGACATGTTGCTGGACCATACGTTCATCCTGTGGAGCACCCAGAACACTATACTGCGAGTTTCACAAGCTAAGCCAAATTATGAAGCTAATATAATGTGCGTGCAAAGATCTTTTGCTAGTGGTAACAGCTGTGTACGTAAAGAAATATATATACACAACTATATCAATGACTATATAACTATATATATATATAACTAAATCTCTATATATATATATATATACATAACTAAATATTAAATCACTACATATATATATATATATATCTATATAAAAATACAGCTATAAAACTATAAATATATAACTAAACGAAAAAACTGTATGCATTCACAATAACACATACATAACTACAAAGAAAAAGTGTATATATATAACTAAATACATGGTTTCATATGTATAACTATATAGATAGCAATATATATATATATAACTAAATGTATATAGCTATATATATATATATCTAAATAACTACCAAGAACTGTTTATATAACTATTTGAATAACTATGTAAATAATTTTTGCAGACTATATAAACATATAACTATACATCAAACAATACATATGTATATATATATATGTATGTACAACATATATACATATAACTAATATATTAATAGTTATAAATAGAAAAGTTTACATATGTAATTATATATATATATTCTATACACACATATGTACACAACCGCACGCACATGTGGATGCCTCCCGAGTATGGACTTGGGGGCTGTTTCCACCTGACAACTGCAGAAGTTTTCCGATGGGCGCCATCTGTGCCAGGTCCCCCATTCAGGGGACATCCGGAGAGCGTTCGTGTATCCCTCGGGGGCGTGCAAAAGGTTCAGTTGTGTACAATCAAAACCCCTAAAGTTGCACAGTACATGTCATTCCGAATTATAAAAATGAGTCATTGCATGTCATTGCCCATCTGATAACCACCATCAGTTGCGATCGTTTAGGCTGGTTTGTGAATCTTTTCAATTTCAGTATTTGAAAAAAACTTAATCCATCGCCGTGGGTCACGTCCGTAAAGAAAAAAACATGACATGGTTCCATGGGGATGACACCCCTCACCGGTAGCGCTGAAAAAAACATCCATACACCAGCAGCACTCTGTGCGCTGAGCGGAGCGAGGAGCTCTTTTGGCCGGCTTTGCCTAAGGCTATCGCCGTTCAACAGAAGCAGGAAGCGGCTGTGCTTTCTAATCCTTTGGTGAGACTAGAGTGCTCAATGCCAAAAAAAGGCTTGAAACAGCTAAAAGGAACAGATATATTTAATCCTATAAAGATCCCTTAAGACCCTGAAAGTTCCTGCTGCAATAACGGACCTCCAGATTTCAACCGGCTTCTATGTGATCTCCACGAGAATCGGCCAGTCTGGCATGACCAGGGATGTCTACAACAGCAGCTCCACTGTCGGTGCCCTGTTGGTGAGCCAACAAAAGTCATATCACGTGCAAGTCGCATGATGGCACTAGAGGAGCCTGTTTGGAAAAAAAACTCCGGTCAAACATGGCTTCCCAACATGCCTAGACGGAAAAAACAACGATAAATGGGAATTTTTTCATTGCCAGTTGATTTTTCCACCTGCTTCGAGTGATCCCCACCATGACAAATTATCCTGGCATAGTTTCCGATATATCATCTGAAAGCATGTCTAGCATATATATATATATATATCATATATATTCTGACAGTGTATCTGACATTCTATCTGGCAATCTTTCTGGCATTGTATTTGGCATCTATTCTGGCATTGTTTCTGGCATCCGTTCTGGCATCCTATCTGACATTCTTTCTGGCATATGTTCTGGCCTTCTATCCGGCATTCTATCTGATATTATTTCTGACATTCTCTCCGGTCTTCTCTTTGGCATTCTATCTTGCATTTGTATATTCTGACATCCTAGTTTGGCATTCTTTCTGGTCTGTGTTCGGATCCATGCGTGTACCGCCAACGCTGTGAGCGTGTCCTGGGACCATTTTGCGGTGGGGAAAAACAATTTTTCGGGGGAGTTTCCAGCAAACCATCTTTGATTTGCGCAGGTAATATACTTAATGTGGGCAAAACAATCATACACCATCCCCCCGTCATCACCATTTTTATAGGTGGTATGGTTGCCATTCTTTAAATTAGTGGTTTATGGCATTGTTTTACCCACATTACTATTATCACCTACCGTAAACTCATCAACCATTGACCAAAAAACGGCCTCTGCTGGTGCTGTCCTTTTGGGTCACCTCCTTAGGTCCTTTGATGGTGAACATTGCTGGAAATAGTTCCTTTTTAATGATTCCCGAATGCGTAGCAGGGGTTCCTGTTTCACTCAAGGGGTCTGGGGTGGAGGGTGTGTTCGCTGGACATTGCGTTCACGACCGCAACCGTCCGCAACCGTTCGCAACCTTTCGCACCCGTCCGCAACCGTTCGCGTGAGACACTTTTGGAGGTTTCCAGCGTCGCGGTGCTTCGTTTCGCATGGCAGGCGTGGCACTTCCTGACATTCAGACATGTTTCGTAACGTGTGGAAAATCGTTTTGTGTGGCAAATGCAATACTTTTTGCGAAGTTTTAAGAAGATGCGTTGCATTTTTCGTGGCAGGTGCAGCACTTTGGAGGTGTCCGTCTTCATTTTGCGTGGCAGGCGCAGCACTTTAGACGTGTCTTGTGGCTCGTTTTTTGCGAATCGCATTGTCAGGGCTGCGTGAAGTGGTGACAAGGTGCAAATTCCGTGGCAGGCGTGGCATTTTGTGAGATGTGCTGAAAATTGACGGAAGCCTCGCAAGAAACATCGATTTTGAGGTTGCAAATTTTCAGGTTCTAAGGCAAACTCGTACGTAGGAAAACATCGATTTTGAAGCTGCAAAGT